TGTCCGGTACCCGAGGGATATGTAGTTTTTTTGTTATTTATATAGTTCGTATGTTTTGTAATACCACGCAGACAAAGTCGCGGGCAACAGCTAGTACTTCTATAAGTAAAAGTTTATGCGAGGAATGTAGTTGCGATTTTTTTTATTTACCAACGGCGGACATTGTTAGGTTCACTCAATAGCTGAGAGTTTTGTACGTCGAATCATCATAACATTAAGAAATTGCTACGAATTAATATTCTAATGTATTCAAGTATTGAGGCCATCAGTCCATGAAAAACGTGCCTCAGTGCACTATGCATAAGTCATAAGGGTTGCTATAGCAACGCTACAGGACGCCATTGGTCTACTTGTGAATATGAAATACAGTTTAAATCTATACGTTAAAAGTATAGACGATACAAACGATACTATATGTGTAGCATACAGTGACGCGACGCCAGCACATGTGTGAAGAATTTAAAAAAATTTAAACCCCCTTTCGTTTCCCACCTATTTAATACAAGGAAATTATTAAAAGTTAAATGGATTTGACGGAGGAAGAGGCGCATAGGAAGAGGAGATAGATACCTTAACGGCTTTATTCGGCTAATTCAGGGGACGCTTGCTTGTTTGCCACCTTATTATACGTTAAAAGAATTAGTAATTGTGATTGTATTTAACATTTTAAAATTATGCACAAAGGTGTAAGTATATCGCAATTATCATTTAGTATCTAGCAAAAAATTACGTTTAAATAAAGCTAGGACAAAAAACGATAATGAAAGTTTGGGCACACAAACAATATCAGATAACATTACGTTATACATATTATGTATTATAGCTATAGCTGTTACAAAAGTTATAAATTACGATTATCGTTTGAATCGTTATCTTTTATGTAGATGATAATATATTAATGAATCATTGGTTAATATGTATAGGAACAGAATTCTAGTTATCGATGAGCCCAAGTTAATGAATAAAATTCAATAAGGGTCACTGTAATAATGTTACTGATGACCTGCGCGATACTTACATAATTAATTGCACTTTGCCCGTATTTAAAAAAATAAACTTTGCACGCGTTCACTAACTGATCGTTTTAAATATTATTAAACGTAATTACTCGAAGTAAAATTCCATTGTATCTTTTATTCGATATTTAAAATTGAAATTAGGCAAATAATTGATAATATACGTCATCGTAAACGTAAATTAAAAAATGAACAGGTAACCGCATTTTACGGCGCATTGACTTTAGGTTCGCAGAACTTATAAACAAGGAGGCAGGATCTCAGGTCGACAATGCACCTGCCCGCCACTAGGTAGCCAGCCCTTTTAAAATGGCCCTTTCCTGCATAATATAATGCTTAACATAAAAACTCATTTTTTTATTAATATAACATCGACATTGTCTATGCCAATGCAAAGATAATCAAGTCTCTAGTCTCAAAAAACTATTATCTTTTTAACGCTGTTATTAACTTCTCCTAATCTTATCGCTTAATTAATGGAAAGAAAGACACGCTTATTACGCTAACACATAGTTAACATATAAAATTATCATTTTATTTAATGCAATTGCAAACTATTAGTTGTTAGCTCGCATTATGTACAAATAGTACAAGGTGCTATATTATTTCCTACCTATTGATCTTCTGGAAAGAGGTCCGAAACGATTTCCCAAAGATTAATTGAATATTCGTTACCAGAGCACTATCAAATTCAACATTTGTTAACTTGTTTTTGAATGATACGCCATTTTTTAAATATCGTTAATTTCTATTGATTTATTCGTCGGTAGCGTATTTATATTTTTGGTATAAGCCCAAGAGGTAACCTCTACCTCTACCTATTACAACTGTATCATTTTAATTATCAAAAAGTTGACGTCATTTGGCCTTATAGACTTTATATCGTTTCACCTGAGTCAGTTGAAATTCCACGGATCGAGTGATTGTAACATGATGAATGGAGTAGAGGCGGCGCGGCATCGGCGGCGACTGAGCCCGAGCAGAACCTGTGGGACCGGTCTCCGCCGTCGTGCGCCTGCGCACAGCTCGACGCTTTTTATTCCCCGATCGTTGGTACGCCACAGCCTGCGCGCAACGCTGCTAATGACCGCCCTCACTTCAATAGCAATTGACCATTACAAATTACTAAAGCCCTAACTTTTTCTGCTCTAATATTTTGTTGAAACTATATATTAGAGCAGAAAAAGTAAAATAAGTAAAATATAAAAAAAAAAAAATTTAAACTAAGGGAGTCATTGAGTGACACATTAAAGACTAGAGTTATTTTACCATACCATATAAACGATAGATCAGTTCTGAATAGGTTGGGGAACTTTTGAAAAATGGTACGATTTTTGTTATAAATTAAAAAATTAAACTTCTATGACATCTTTACACATAATAGAGTTATCAGCGCGATAAGTAAATCGTGATAAAAACTATATCGCGTCAAGTTATCCGTAGTCAATATTTGCAAAAATACAATCGTTTCATGTAAATTATTTATCGTACCGTATCTAATATCACAGTATCTTTGCATAGGAAAATTATTTACCCGAGCAATACATTGAGGCCATGTAACATCGAGCTATTAAATTACTATGAATAGATTTGCAAATTCCTTTCACCGATATTGCAATTCGTATTTGAATATTATGTCCAATACAGCCGCTCAGATCTGACAGTTTAAACTGTAGAGTCGAACCGTACGTTTAAAACTGTGCTTGTTTAGGCAAACTTTAAACTGTCAATTGAACTATTCAGTTAAATTTTTTGCCTACAGGCACAGTTTTAACGATTAATTTCTACTCTTCAGTTGAAACTGTCAGTTAGAATTTTGGTTTTGGTAAAGTACCTACTTCCTAAACAAGTGTACGTAAGAAGTAAAATAACAAAAGTTGCATAATAAAACGCTATTAAAATATACTCATACAATATATTATGTGTACATCGGTTATGATTCATTTATTGGTATTCTAGAATGAAACAATTTAATAATTACATTTAATCGAATATTGTTTCTCTTTTAGTCCCTACTTAAAAGAATACGCAGAATGTTTATTATCCCAATACGACAAGAGATTTTCTAACTAAATACTAGTTAAACTCTCATTAACATATCCATTAATTACTTTTACATTTCAAATAGATAGTTTGTACATTAGCTTAAGTTCCATTTTAAGATGATAAAATAAATGCATCATACAATGTACTAAGTCCAGCTCCACTTCCAAATTAAAGATGTACATTTCATGAGAGTTTTTAATAGTAGCAATTTATTCATGCAACAGAATTTCTACATAGATGTTGGATCACAACAGGTTTAAAGTTAGTCATTCGCCTACGTCACCGCATAACTACGTCAATAATGAAATCTTTCCAGAGCTCATCTTTTTTCTGCTATTCAGCTTAGGTGTGCGCTCAGAGTACATAAACAATCGCTAATGTCCGTCTAGTCTAGTGCGATTGTGCTGCCATTACGAGCGTATCACCTTGAAAGCGACCGATGTTACCTGTATCCACATAAAAAATGGCAACGTCATGGCGTACACCGCGCGTGCATTCAAAGACGTGGTAGGTCGCGATTGTTCGCGCGGCGCGGGTTTCGTTCATCGCACGCTCGGCTTACTCGGCAGCGGCAGGTCCGCGAGAGAGCGGTGCGGTGCGCGGCCGCGGGGGCGGCGCGGCGCGGCGGGGGCGGGCGGACGTGCCAAGGCAGCGGCAGGCGGCAGGCGAGCAACATATTTACTCATACGCCCGAGGCGTAAATCACCGTGCATCTATTTCGAGTGGAGTGGCGCGGGGCCGACGCGGAGCGGAGGGCGCGGGCAGACACCGGTGCCGGTCTGGCGCCAGAAGGATTCCCCAGCGCCCCGCGCCCCGCGCCGAGGTCACGCGCAACCGTGCCGTGCCTTCGCTCCCGCTCCATACCTAATCTAAAATGCTTCGCCGTGTTAAGTTATAGTGGCTATGGCTACTGCTACAGAGTATCGCTCGATTCGTGTTTAAAATGAAAGTTGTCTTCGTTTAGTTTATAGCAAACATGAGCCTTGAAACGATGTTAAACATGACCACTACCTAACCAACGAGATATTAAGATAATATCTAATAGACAATAGGTATCTGTAATTTTTTAATTAGACTAATAATATGACGATCCTATGTGCATATCCTTGTATTTGTTATTCAATGTAGGCAAGCTACTTAAAGATTACCAACGGCGTTATCCAAGTACATACATTTTTACATTTCTTCATAGTATTAACAATTTCAAAATATGTTAATGCAATAAAATTATTAGCGTAAGTTGCTTGCCGAATTGTGCCTTGACATTAAGCAGTTAAAGCTCTAAATTGCTAAACACGACGTAGATAAACAACCGAGAGTCTGTACCTACCGTACGATGACGTGTTCACGGCTTACGTAAGAAGTCTTTTATTTGACTTATTCAAAGCATAATCAAATGCTGTGGATATTTAGATGCGAGTAAGTTTACATTTGAGATTGAAACGAGCAGTTACCTCATCCGCTACTCACGACACCGTCTCAATGTAAATTCTTCCGCCCAATTTTTTGGCGCGAATGCTAGGTAAATACCACTACTTTGCTTCCTCGCTAAAAATGCCATTCACCATGTCACGCCCTAGTCTATTTAATTTTGGGTCGCTAGTTAGCGTCCGGTAAAAACCTGATGAAATTGTTCTAACACAAAATTTCAATAATCGTTATTGTAACCTACAACATCATTTAATTTACATATGAACCTACCTTTCAGGGTTTATAATAAGTAATTTATAAAAAGTAACTTGTCAACAACTGTCATTCTTCACACCATTATTTAATTGAAGATGTTCATCATAGTAGTAAACGAGGAAACTAGTCGCTCAAAAAATTGTCTATTATAAACTATAGATATGTGGGTTTAGTACTAACTTGAAACAACAAAATGGAATATTTATTTCTATATTATTAGAATATGACATTTGAACAATGATACAATGCATAAACCTTACCAAAACATAAGAACTTTTTTATTCCAAGTAATAAAAACCGTCATTTATAGTCATGGGTTATAACACAAAGAAAAATAATTATAAAACAGTAAGCCACAAAATGCTATGATACGTCGACATCAATAGTAAATAATGTGAACTATGTCTTTACATCATTTTTTGAGATATATAAGTAGATTGACGTAAAACATTTAATTAATATGTCTACACATATAACGCAACTACCCTTTACATAAGGCTAGAAATTGACAACACTACATATAAGCTATACTATTGAAAAGCATATAAATTGAAAATACTTTAGAGATGTACCCTAAATATTTCCAAATGACTCTAATCTAACGACATCCCAGCATCGTCGTCTTTTTTTCCATCTTTCTCTTCCTTGGCCTTTTCCTTCTTTTTGTCTTCATCCTGGCTCTTGGAGGAATCGGATGCGTTGGAGGTATTCTCCAGGGCTTTGAAGAATGCCTGCATATCGCCAGTGCTAGCTGCAGAAGTCACCTCCCCTGGCAGACCGAACTGGTTCATTACTGGACCCATTTGACCCGAGGCCAGTGCCGCTGAGAATTGATTGGCAGCCTGGAGAAATACATCTCTTTTTGAATATTATCACTATCATATAAAGTTTAATGTCTCGTATTTAAAATTAATGTTCACCCCACTAAGACCTGCAGTGCTGTAATAGTTTGCTTTTAACTACAACTAGCTAAAACTGTAAAATGCAGTAGAGAATTAAACTTTGACTTTCTATCTATAAGAAATAAGACCTATAAAAATATAACTAAATCTGACATTTTACACATTACAATGGACAAACTGATCCAGATTTAGGATAAATATTACTAAAAAGGAGACAAAGCTAAAGGGAGGTTAGCAAACAAAATAGAATGGCATTTTTATGAATTTAATCATATTAAATACAAACAAAATGATCTGGATGTAAAATATCTGAAATAAAAATTGTGATAGTGAAATCATGTTATTAAAAAAATGTGTTTTAAAGATATGAAGGAAGAACGATAGAAAAACAAGCAGTTGCCCATAGGTCGACTTTGAAGAAGCAAAGAAGCAGTATGTAAAACCCAACATTTGCCAAATCTGATTTTTAATGGTGAAGGCATTCCAAGTCAAAACATGCAACCATGAAGCAATGTCCAAATATAGACCATTAATAAGATTGTACAGGTCAACTTTTTACCTTAACTTACTTTAGATTGAGATAATTTTTATTAAAATGCATTTAAAAGAATGCTTGTATTTGTCCATCATCTCTACTTTATCCTACTCCCGTGAGATCGGCGCTCTGGGTCAGATCTGTCATCACTCCTTTCTTGATCATAACACCTTTCATGTAATCCATCCATCTCTTTTTAATTCTACCTCTACCAATGTATCTCCACACTTACAACTAACATCCATGTTACATGCGATTCATCCCTCCTCATTACATTCCCATACCATGCTAACACTTGTATATGTCCATGGTATGTTTTTGAAAATCCTGTCTTAACATAAACAAAAATTCGTACTTAAGGGAGTGTTAAGTAACTTACAGAAGCTTACATCAGATGCTTAAATAAGTTAGTCAAGAGTTATTATGGAGTATGCAACCAGTTGATGATTGCTTATTATTTATAATAATATATGGTATGCGAAGATGTGTGACAATTTTTATGTGAACTTAAAACCCACTAAAAGAATTTAGCCCAGCATTTTAGAAGCCACATTAGAAGGTGCCAAAAACGTTTTTATCCAAAATTTGAATTTAAAATATAAGCTCTCGCACAGTTGTACATTAAAACATACATACTTATATCTAAATATTTAGAATGTATTAACATAATTGTTATATATGGGTGTTGTAAATTTTGTGCTGAAAACATAGTTTTTTACACAAAATTAAGCTATCATTTTCCAAAAAAATATAATCTCTATATCATCACTAGCTACTGAAAATGTATGTACATTTTATAGTGGATGAATAAAATTATTATTTTACAAATAAAGTACAGGATAAACTAATATAGTGCTAAGAAATCTTCTTTAAACAAAAACTCTTTTCTTTACCCATTACCCATCTACACTATATGTTTAAAACAATTAAGGTGAATTCTTTATAAATGAGGTTAATGTGATAGATGTCTAGTACTTTTATGAGAGCTTATATTTTTCGAATGGAAGAATTATAGAGTGATTTCGTGCTAGTAACATCTGCAGCCCAGCCTATACCGAAGCCTATCTATCAGGGGGTTCACCTGCGCGAACTGCGGTGAGAGTAGAGTGGTCCTTACATCGTCGTGGGCCTTGGCTGCGGCGGACGCTGCGGCGGTGGCGGCGCCGGCGCCAGCGGCGGCGTCGGGCGCGGCGCCCGTGGCCGGCAGGTGCGGCGCCAGGCGCTGCGCGTTGCGGGGCTCGCTGGCTGTCGCCACCACGTCGGAGGAGGCGAGCGCGGGGCCCAGCTCCAGCCGGTTGCCCCCGGCGCCGGGGCTACCGGCCACGCCCTCCGCTCCCGCCGCGCCCCCGGCACCAGCTGCATCCGGAGGGGCGGTGCCTAAAGCCGAGAAGTAGCGCTGCAAGTCGGATAGGAAGATCTGTCCGCCTGCAGAGTGCAAATATATGAGTTTGTAAATATTAGTCAAATTTTAATATAAAGTACAAGAACAGCAAGAAGAAAAACAACAGGGTGAATGGTAATAAAGGCTTATAACTTAAAAGTCAATAGCATAGCTTGTAAGTTTAGTTCTCACTGCGTGGTTGTGTGGCGCTGGCAGTGTTGGGCGGGGTGGCGGCGGGGGCCGGGTCGCGTCGGGGCACGGCGCGCGCGGGCGCGGCGGGGGCGGGGGCTGGGGCGGAGGCAGCAGCAGAGGCCGGGGCGGGGGTGGAGGCAGGCTCGCTGGTGCGAGGCGCACTTCCCCCGCGGGAACTCGCGCTACTGCCGCCGGACGCGCGCGTGCTGCCCCCGCTGCCCGAACTACTGCTATTGTTCCTACAACCAAAATAATTGACAAACTAAGTTAACACAATGTTTTAGAATCTGATCTGAGAATATTTTATCACTAGTGATGCAAATCCCTTTCTCTAATGTATTCCTTTGCAATCCATTTTTCATATTTGAATGTTAGAATAAATCATGGTGCAACTAGTAGTCTAATATAATCATTATAGCAATAAACAAGTTATACCCCATAGTTCCAAGAAGGGACGACAAGCCTCCAATCTGGCCAACGCCTCCGAAGAGCTGCATGAGTTGTTGCTGCGACATGTTGTTGAGCAGATTTTGTAGTTCTCCATCTTGTGCTCCACCTCCTCCTCCCCCGCGGCCTCCGGACGTCGGTGGGTTGTTCAATGCTTCATTGATGCGGCGGCAGTAGTCATCATCCTTTTCACTTTTAGGCTCCTAGTAATTTTATTAAAAATTAATGTTGTATTTGTTCTTTTAAAATACTAGATGGCTTTATATTTCCATTTGCATTTTTTTAAATTTTCAAACAACAAACTATTTCATTTTGATTATAGGTCATTGCTTTATACCAAGTGAGCACCTTACAAGTCATACTTTAAATAGTAATTCCTGGCAGTGTTCAATGGAATTTTATAGTTCAGTGTTACAATAAGATGAATAAAACTTTGAATTACCTGCATCCAGAAGAAGTACTTCTTAGAGAAGGACTTAAACTTTAGCACATACACACGACCAGTAGTGCATTCTGACACGCGCACAAATTCACAATCATCAGGGAAAATCAAAAGATCATCTTCCACTTCCCCGGTGGTACGATCTTTCCAACAGAAATGCATCAACGAGTCCTCCCCTTGGTACACATACAACAAGCCCTTCCTTTTGTCTGGATGTACCATGCGGCCTTTCAAAGTCATTCTTCCAGCACGGAATTCTACCAGATGTTTGTTACCCCCGGAACTTCCGCCGAGGGCAGAGGTATTTCCAAATAATGCAGTGGCAGACATTTTTCTCAGGCTATTTAGAAACAAAGTAAAAAAAAGTGATAACATATAAAATAAAAACACAAATTATACAGAAAGTATTCAGGAAGTAACGTACCGCTTAGATTTGTCTTCTGTTATGGTGAAATTGAAGAAACGCTTATCACTTCGGAAAAAAATAGTTTAGATTTCTGAGGAACAAGAACAGGAGACTGCAAAGACAAATATAAATGACAAATACCAAAGATCACAGACTACACTTAAACTGAAATAACTAATCTTGATAGATGGATAGGTTGGTCCTTCGCTATGACAGCTTATGCTTCATATCAGCTTAAAAGAGCTTATTGATGCTACTGACAGTTAATTTTAATGTATGAAAATAGTTTGAAGCCTAACCACCACCAACACCCACTGCTATCAGCGCCAAAATGGCGCAAATGAAATAGGCACAAAATACCACAGCTTTTAACCTGTCCATGGAAAGCAGTCACTGGGAAATTAACACAAAATATACTATGTCATCGTTGAAATACAGACTGTATAAAGTTAAATTAAATGACAAAATTGAACAAAATGGCGGAATTATGTTAATATTTAACCTGTATATAAGCAATAGCAAAAAGTGTATTTTAGTTATCTGTGTTGGAAGGGGAAGTTTTTTTTTTACTAATCAGAGGTTTAGTGCAGAACGATTTATATTCTTACCACTTTGTTGAACAACAGAAGAGACCAGAAGAATCTAAGCGTTTTACAGAGTCCAGTCAGCTTGTTTTTGTTTATTTAGTGAATTTGACCTTAATAACATCTAATCTCTTTAAAATATATTAGTACTATTTGAGACTGAAACGTAGAAACTATTTCTTAGCGGAATGAGCGGTGTTCAAACAGGTCAGTAAAAAAATACATCTTTAAAGCTGTTTTTCTCAAGAGTTTTCAGTGTAGCAAATCCATCATGGTCATTCCATTGTTGTAGAAACTAACACAGTACCCGTATATCTGATGTTATCTTGTACTATATGATATAGTCATTTAAAAGATAAATTCCATTTCTTGGTAAAACACAAGAAACCTCTGAAGTGCTACAACAAATTTTTATAAAGTAATGTAAAGAGGTTTGTTTATGAGCTAAATATATGTATTGAAAAATTACAATCAACTGAAGTTAATATTACAAGTAATAGAAGAAAACCATACAATTTTTTAAATAAAGTTGTTGTGTAGTGGCACTGCCATTGTGTTAATAGAATTTATTTGGAACTGTTGTAGTAATATGCATCTTTCATTGTGTAGTTATGTAAAAGTCTTTGTTACAGTTTTCCGCTTTTAAAATCTAAGTAAGACTATGATCATCTACATAAATAAATTGCATTTCTGTATCTTATACCATATTTTATTTCATAATGACGATATGAAATAACAAAGTTGGTTACATTTGAGATGAGCTACGGAAGTTTTTGTCTAGTTCTTTTCTCTATAGAGATTCTACCAGACATAAGTCTTCTCCATTAAGAACTAAAATTATCCCCTTATTTTTAACAACAATCAGTGTTTATAGCATCAATTTCTTCGGTATATGAATCATTCCTGATGGTTTAAACTAGTAGATCTAGGCATTCCGTTAATAAACACCTGGAAAAAGTGTTGACAGCACTGTATGATTTACATTTAAAGGTTTCTCTTTTTTTTTAATTAACATTTCATATTAAGGAAAACATTATTAATCTTAACTTATAAAAATCACATATAAAAATATGTTGTGCATAATTTTATAAATGTCTTTAGAGTTAAAAACTTATTTTATTTTATTTTCTAAGTTATTTATATTTCATATACTAATCATATATGCATATATATGTATCTTGTAGATATAATGCATTATTTAAATTTATGTTATACCTGCAATGTACTACATTAAATAAGCCAATATGATTTTTATGTCTATATGTTTGGTATATTTCCAACAGTGTCTTGATTATAGAATGTTTGAAATTATTTAGTAACTAGTAACAAAAGTATTTACTGTGTTGCATGAGGTCTATCTCTCTGATTTCGTAAAGTAAAATCGGTGTGACTCATAGTTTGGCAATCAACGTTTTTACGTTTTGTGTCGACAAGTAAAAAATGACGTAAGTCTGTTATGCCGCGCTCCAGCGTCCGCACAGCCGCCGCTCACTCGCCGCGGGCTCGGGCACTGTCAATAAACTTTGGCAATACAAGGTGAGTACGGTTTTTGGACTCGTTTTGATCGTCAGCGTCGCGCGCACGAATGCCTGTATAACGAGAGTAACTTTGCTCTCGCTCACGTTTGCTAAATTTTATTTCAATTATTCCGATTAATCGAAAAATATGTTTGGAGGTCAAGATCATATAAAATAGCCAGATTGTAGCTCGCGTGGTGGTCGGTGAAAGTGGCGAATAGGAGCAGTCAGGCAGCGGCGCGAGACGGACGCGGCCGGTTGTACTAACGAGCTCCGACGTGGCGAGGAGCCGGATCACGGACATATTGCCAGCGCTGTCAAACTTTTTAACTTTGTCGAGTGTTTGTTATCTGTGATAGAACCATGTAGGCTGTGAACATTCTGGCCACACCGATTCTTTGAATTTTGTTGTCACACGTTTTATTTGAAATTTCAACATCGCCAATGTGTATTAAAAGACAGCTGTGGACATATTCGACTCGTTGTTTTTCTAATATCGAAAGTATGATGGATATTCGCGGTAGGAGAGGAAGATAGTGAAATGGCGAACACCCGAGATGGAAGTGCGGAGCCCGCGAGCCTGGAGTACATGGAGGATCCGTACTTCGTGCCTCCGGATGACGACTCGACGCCCAGTTTCGATGTTGCGGTAGATGAGCTGGACGAGCTGGAGGAGTTGGCGAACTGGCCGCGTGACGCCGAGGCCGAAGCGGACTGGCGCGCCTTGCCCGACCTCGCAGACTCTGCGCTTTGTATTGAGACGGAGTTCTACATGGACAATCGTCGCAGACGACTCCGAATATTTAGGAAAAAGATTCGCGAAGTGCGCGTCACCTTCCAAGACCTCTCCAAACCGTATCTCGCCAAAGTTTCCAGTCACACAAACTACAAAAAGTTTCTGGGCATCACGCCTGGAGGTTAGTAATGTATATGGACAAGTAATGACTAATACAACATTGAAACATATGTTTTAACTTATTCAAAGTGTTAGGAAATGTAGTCACTGTTGTTATCGTACGATTGTTATTTTATTTCAAACAGGTGACAGGACGTAACGACGTACAGCAAATTTCAGACAAATTTTGATGAATATTGTATATCTATCACTTGACGGATAAAGAAGTAGTATAAGAAACTGGGGACTAAGGCAAAAGTCGACGTATAGTAGTAGTCAGAAATCTTACATATTATTACAAGTGGTCTAGATTAGTGGACTGCAAGTCGCTTCGATGTTAATAATCCAATTAAACAATCTTTATTACTTTGTAATGCATTAATTTGTAATATATTCTTATTATTTCTTAAATTGGATAGTCGATTTTAAAGTTAATAAACATCTCTACAGTAGTATATTATGCAGTTTATAGACGCTCGTGAGTCGCTATTATTATTTTTTTTATTACATTGAGGTTAAGCATTATTGCCCTTCATTGATAAAAAGTATGAATATATTTTTAATATCGTCGCTTGAACTGCAATTATAAAATATCACCTTACATAAAGTTTATTTATTGATTAATCAGTGATTACAGCATAAATATCGCCTTGGCTCCTTAACTAGCAAATTCTGTGCTTAAGGACACAATGCCAATGCCAACAAACATTGAATACGACAGTAGCAAGTGTTAATTGGCGTTTGATTATTTTATAAATTAGTGTTATTATTAATAAAAAATGTACAATAAAATAGACGTAATATGACGGAGGTAAGTTTTGTAGTGATCACATGTAATTGTTGTGTAGCCACGCTGTTTACACAACTTCCGGCCAGTTGTATATCTATTTAATTATAGTGAAATAGTATGACGCGTGGCCTAATCATATGTTATGTACGATAACATTTTCTATACAAGTACTTAATGCTTTATGTACAACTAGCTTTAGTCCGCGACTCCGTTCGCGTGAAATTAAAAACAAAAACAAAAGTGAGTAGCCTATGTGTTCTTTCAGGCTATCCTTTACATCTAAGACAAATTTCAATAAAATCCGTTCTGCTGTTTAGGCTACAAAGTCTAACAAACATCCATCCATCCATCCATATCCATTTATAATATTAGTATGAGGTATGATATATGATATAGTCTTAAAAATTTCATTATCCTTTTAATTAATAGCTAAAAAAATTTATGTAATTATTTTGGGTAGTCCCTACTATTACTCCTTTTTATACAAATGTAAATTTCGTTCTAAAAATTTAACGGACCGAAAAGAGCTTTCGTTTTCATAAAATAAACGTTAATTAATCTTGGATATACATTTTAGTAACAAGAATAATATAGTACAATGAATATTCATATTGTCTATGGTTCCTTCGTATCTTATGTTGTAACTTTCAATATCACAAAACTAGTAATACTATGAAACTATATACGATAAACAACTGGATTCTAAATTTTTTTTTCCGTTTTCTTTTTGAAAATATTTTGTCTATTGTTTATCTTTGCTAAAATCGTCTTGTTACCGAGAGAGTTTGCCTTCTTTTTCCTAATCAGATTGCTTGAACATTCGGAATAATTCTGGTTTCCAGAACAAGTTTAAGATTCCTTGTTAAAGTTGCGCGTGGGAGGCCAAGGGGGTAAACTTAGAGCGACCGCTAACAAAACAAATGCACTCATCATATCTCTGTCCTTATCTATCATTCGTGTAAAGTTGGCGCAACAGGTTCTAAACATAAGAATAATAACAAATAAAGAAATTCAAATACGATTACATCACATTTAAAATTGTGAATGTAAAAACATTTAAAACTATTTCGACAGTGTGCAGTGAAATCTTAACTGTACTAGTTTTTTTGCACTCTAATGACCATTAGTTGTTTGGTAGATGCGGACAGTAATGCAAAGAAATCTCAAGTTAAATGTGTTAATCTTTAAGTTGAAGCCTTTCACCTCATTAGAAGATTATACAATGCATAAAATTATTTAATACCTCTTATTTATTTGTTTTAGCTAAATAATAATATTTAATTATACACTCATCCCAATGACGAACAAAATAAAAATAAGGTTAAAACACCATTAACTACTCATTGCAAAGGAGACTATCAATTAATAAGTGTCGGAATTGTAGATTTTAGTCGAAACGCTACCAAATCTGCCTCAAACTTCGCAAGATTTTTTTCGTAGTATTCAATATAATGTAAGGTTTACTTCAAATTACTTAATCTTGGAGTTCGAAGTACGTTATTTGTAGTTTGTTTTCGAACAAAGGATTTAAGTGATAAGTTTTGTTTAGCTGAGGAAGCGATGCCGGGTGCGGGTGGCGGTGCGGGCGCCGGCGACGCGAACACTCCGGACGAGCTGGCGGGCCTGTCGCCCGAGCAGGTGGAGCAGCTTCGCGCCGAGTGGAGCCACGAGCTGGCCCGCGTCGAGGACGAGATCGCTACCCTGCGCACCGTGCTGCAGAGCAAGGTAGGTTACGATACCAGCGGATGCTAGCAAACATAAGTAAACATCTTAAATTCCGAAACAATTTTTATAGTTAAATAAACTCGTAGGTCAAGACGATATCACTAATTGTGTTTATTTCAGAAGTTGTTTTTTTGCCTAAAAACGATCATTATTTTACCTAATAATAATTGGAATTGTTTTAAACTTCGAGTAACATAAAAAAATAAACGTTTTTTTTTTAATTTCACAATTGTTTGTTACATATCGTTACAAGTAACGATATAACACGCGGTCGCGGCAGTTCAATGTCCGGGCGCTCGCTTTAAGTTACCAGTATGCTAACAACCTGATTTCGATCCACGATGCCGCTGCTTAAGAATTTCTTAGTGAAAAAGTTACATTTTTAATTCCTCTTTCTCCTGTCCGTTTTGGAAATAAATAGAGATAATAAATATGTGTAAGAATAATCCTTTAATTTCAGATTCGTCAGAGCTCGGAGTTGAAAAGGAAACTTGGCATAACCGTGTGGAAGGAGATCACCGAGGACGTCAATCAGGGTTTGAAAAACGTAAAGGAGAGCCAAGTGTAAGTGACATGGATACAATGTTACACATAATTATTTGCACAGCTAATTAGGTGAATGAATATTTCTCCTGGGTTAGAACATTATCTAGAGTTATTTAGTAAGACAGATTTTTTTTACCACTTCGCTTGCTGTATGATTCGCTTGAGCTTTTCGGGTTGCGTTAAATTTGGTTCGTTTCATTTGATTTTTCATTTGGTTTGTTACATAACAGCTATCAAACCATTGAAACTCGAGTCGCTGCGCTTACGCAGGCTGTGACGGAAGCACCAATGTAAGTACGGTTACACTACGCTAATTTATTTATTTCCCGTGGGTTCCCATTGAAGTAAATACAAAAAATATCTCTGTTACAATGGAAATCCACGTTTTTAGTAATAACGCAAATCACATTGTGTACTGTTTGCTAATGCTTTAACTAACAAATATTACCGCTAGCACAGTTAGTGTGGTTTTTAAGTTATTAAAAATTGTTCTAACCCAAAAGAAAGTAGTTATACAAATAAAGCTTGAGTAGTAACTTTAGACGTAGTAAAAACGGCCTAGATGCAGGTTATGTTATTTTTATAAAGATACAATAATCGTAAATAATGAATTTAAAAAAAGGTTAAAACCCTGCGCAAACGTTCCTAACAAATTATTTTGTTAATCAATATCGCCTATTACTGTATATTGTTGGTGATTCAGAGATATGTGGCAATCTGAACATTGTAGTATTGTGACGTAACGATTCGTGAGTACTGCCGATAAAACCCAATACTAGCCGACCCATTTTAATGAAGTCTAGACACAATATTTTTATCGATCTCTCACAATTTTATGCATTGTAAGAAATTTGTTCCGTTATGTTGTAATTTGTACCTTGTGATTTTTTATTAATTTTCGGTTTTCATTTAAAAAAATCGCCCTTGACTCTTTGTTACTTTTTAAAATAAATCAATAGCAAGATTATTTAAAGAACTACAAGGAACAACAAATATATTTCAGTTTTTTTATAGACAAGCATTTATTAAGGACTAGTTTTTTAATATATTACCGTCTTGTTTTAATCGGGAACTGGATCGGTTCGTGCGTCGGATCAGATTGCAACGCTAACCACACTTTATGCTTAACACGGTATTTCCTTGTCTCTGTTAAATATATTATACAAGTGAGATATATAATATGAAATGGAGTTAATCGGTATTTTGTTTTAAAAAAGAACAGTAGTAGGGAGAATAATAACGTAAAAATAAAGAGGTTTTTAGAATCTGGAATTGATTTTCTATAAATCAAATTGGCTATTTCTTTACCCGGCCATATCAATAATTTTTGAACAAGTTGTTATCAGTTATCGCTTACACTACTTGATCTATTTATTGCATTAACTGTAATGTGTAAGATAGCCATATATAAAATTAGATTTATCGTTACGATTTATATACATGTTTGATTTTGTATTTTCCACAACAAAGATTTGTTAAAATTAATATATAGTATCTAAGTTGACAGTTAAAACCATAAAATCCTGGTCAACTGAGTCTTGTCTCAAATTAACTGCACGATTTTATGTTCGCACTAAATCCCTACGTTTCTCTACTACCTTTAACAAAAGACCAAGAAAACGTAATGAAATAACTTTTACTAAGTCATGGTATTTGAAAGTTAATTACGAAATTATTTATTATTTTTCTTATGTATCTATCGACAGATACCAAAAAACTGAATCTGTGATAAAATCGACTGCTGAGAAGACGACGTCCATCCTGGGCGGCATCACCGCCGGCGTGTCCAGCAAGCTCGGCCAGATGCGCAACTCCGACTCCTTCCGCTCCATCGAGGAGCGCGTCGGCACCGCCTACGAGAACGTCAAGGTACACCACACCCCACACCCCACACACCAAGCACCTTCAGTGTTTGTTAATATACTACCCGTGGCTTCATTCGCATTACGTTATAAAACTGGATTTTGTTTACATTTGTCATATTTCAATTGCATTTATTAAATTTCAAATGACGACGAAAGCCTTTGTAATTGGATAACAATTTCCGTTACCATGGCACCTTGCGTCTTTGTTGTTGTTAACTTGAAGTTTTTGTCTCTTTCCTGTATGACGGTTTTTCCAATTTATTTACCTGTTCAGTATAAAATATATAGACTAAACCGTGTCGTAAGAGTATGGCTATTTATTATAAAAAATATTCAAAGATATGCTATGACTCCTGCCATCCTACATAACTAGCACACCACAATATAAGACGTAAAAAGACACTTGTAAGCCCTATTAATATTAGTACTAGCTTTCGCCCGCGACTCTGTCCGGATGGAATTAAAAAAAACGAAAGTGTTCTTTGTGTTCTACCAGACTATCCTCTATATCTATACTAAATTTCATCGAAATCCGTTCAGCCGTTTAGGCTACAAACTCTAACAAACATCCATCCATCCAAACTATTACATTTATAATATTAATATAATAAATTTACATTATTGAATTGTTTGTTTTAACAGGGTAAAGTGGCGTCTCGCTCTAACTCGACCCAGAGTTTCGACGAGGCGCTGCGCGACGCGAGCCGCGCGGCCAGCGGCGCCACCTCGCCCACCATCCCCGAGCACAAGCCGCTGCCCTAATCCCTCCCCTGGCCCCCACACATCCATCACCCTTCCACACAAACACACGCATTACCCCTACCTCTTTCCCAACACAAACCCTCACTGGTTAATTCTCACCAATTGATGACTTTATTTGTATAAGTTGACTCTCGTCACTACCACATGGACTCACCTTCAATGTTTCTCTGAAGTTAGTGCATATGCTTTTCTTACGAGTGAGCGAGACGGCAACACCTAAGACAACTTCGCACCTTTATTACTTAAAAAGAATTAACTCAACGACGACTAAACGACATTATTTTCGCTAGAATACGACTTATACAACTCGCATCAAAATAGAATGAAAATAAAAGAGAGCATGAATTTCCTATGTTTTAGTGTAAACATAACAAACCTTAAACGCAATTTCCCAAAAAAACATTTTGAGTTAATTTTTTTTTATTAATTAAGATGCGAACTGCCTTTTTCGAACAGCTTGTATCCAACTTCACTAAGATTATTGAGATATCCATTTAAAAAAATCTTTATAAATCGTTGACGTCCTTCTGTTATTTGTAAAGTTGGTTGGTGTTGAAATTCTTTATTAGTGATATAAAAGTTTTGGGCAGATTTTACATGTTTACGTTGAGACAGGCTGAGGTTATTTGAACTTAATAAAATTGCTATAATCGAATTTAAACAGCTGTCTTGCCTCGCGCTGTATGCCTTAGTTGTCTTTAGTAAATCTTTTTGCCCTTTATAAGAAAGGGATCTGTTAGTGGACCAGCATTTATAAACCCCACAATAATTGTCGATAATGCTTAAGATTATTGTGTTTAGGGTCTTATTTGGTTTCTGCTACTTTTGCTATGTTTAAGTACTTAAGCAATTGCTTCTGAGTAGATCAAGGATAGTGTATATTGCGATATTTTATGACTATTTTCTTATAGATACAAATAATACAAGGATATGTAATATTTTTCAATGTAAAGTTACGCAATTTTAGAAAAGAGAAGTTTAATTTATTATTTTAGAAGTTTGAAGTATTAAATGAGACATTAAGATTGTATTGTGTTTTGTATGGCGTTTTATGAAATTAAATTGAAAAAAATCCAAAAAAAATGTTTGATTGAAGTTAATAAATATTACGAAGACTGTTGGGCAATTTATTATTTGCGTAAATATTACAAATTTGTGTCTTATTGCATTCCATATTTTATTTATTCAATACATTGCATATTTTGATTTGAGAAATATTACTAAAATATTCATAATAATTACTTTAAAAAATATCTACTATAAAAAGGTTGATTTGAATTCAACCCAAGGAATGTTTTCTTTGTGAATAAGACACAATTCCCTACTATGTCCAGTTTGAAAGTATAAAATATTTTTATAAGATGCTTAGCTTTCCTTTACTTATAAATATTCCACTATTTACATTGAATACCATTTTAAATGATAAATATATGTATTCAAAAGCTAATGAGTGTTTTATTTATTTACTGCATTATGTGTTACCACTTATTGGTAACAAATATAGGATATAAAAAAAGATGTCTCGGGATTTTGAAGACTTCGACAAATGGTTAGTTCATAAATAATTCCCCACTATAGTTTGTCTAAATAAGTTAGATTAGTTTGACAATTCCTTTAAAATTTAGTAAGAATGGGTTATGTATAATCAGTCATGAATCTTATCGATTTTTAGTCTTATAGAAGTTGAAATCGATAGATTCATAGTTATAACTTATGAATTAAAAAAAGAAACATTGTTTTCTCAAATTAATAAAGACCCGTAGAACCGTTACAAATAATGAGAGTAGATAATTGTTTATTACTACTACAGCCGTACGTAATCGAATTAGATTTCGCTATAATAAATGCCATCGTTAAACTCTCTATAAATTAGATAATAAGAAAATAATAATTTTAGTTAAGTTCGATAATTTTGTTTAAACCGATTATCGATAGTTTATAATTGTTCGCTATGTGTGTTTGTTTCGTCACTACGATACCTGTCTATTAAGTACGGCATTTGTCTTTATACAAATTGAATTCGATACTTCATATGCGTCATTTATCAAACTAATCTATCTTATTTAGACAAACTATAGGTTCCATTTCTGAATCACATGTTCTTATTTTCTTTACTTTTAGTATAAAAGTTACATTGCGAAAATAATAAGTATGAATGTTTTTGAATATCATTTATTGTAATTAAGTCCGAATCTAAAATAACAATGACGTTTCCATGATAAATATTGTTAAACATCGGGGTCAAAAGGGGGGTGAATTTTCAAAACAATCGTGAAGTTTATTTCTACACGCCATAATTTAATATCACGTAAAGCGATTACACGTACAACTATTAAAATATAATTAACTAATTACTAATAATTATTTTCGAGGGAAGAAATAATGGGTTCTAAAACTGTGAGAAACAAATATGTATTTAACAAAAATGCTTCATTTTCTAGACATTTTTATTTAGACAGTAAAATGCACGTACAAAGAGTTGTAATTACCAATATGTACACGTGTACTGTTCAAAAATAAAGAACTATTGAACATTAAAGTAATATTTTATATGATTTAAAATACAGGCGGAATAAAATGTTCTTTTCTTAATTCAGAAGTCCATGAGATTGTCACTTGAGTTTGTTTTGAATAAAATAGTTCTACTGAATATGACATTTATACAATGTGATAAAAACCTCTGGAATCGTCAAATATTCTCGTCTTAAAGCACCTTTGATAACATGATTATAAAATCTCATAGACTTCTGAGGTACAAACTTCCTTGCTCATGTCGTTACATTAGGTTACACTTTAACTAACGTCAGGGTCATAGTGATTACAAGATTTTTCTATTATTACGTTAAAATTTATGAACAACTTATATTAAATTAGTTAAAAACTAACAATTTTGTCAATATTACTATTAAACGACACGGTACATAAATAAAACATAGCTTATTTGTGTGCTGTTAAATGAATACAAAACATGTATAGAATCACAAGTCAGCATTAACACGGAAAATGTATTAAAACATACCAGAATATTGTATTGACGAGAGATTATAGAGTACACATTGAACACAGAGGAAATAAACTAAGCGAAATCGCTTAACAGTAAATACGCAGATCGCTACATCGTAAAACAATCGTAGCCCCCTCACAAGTACAATGATTTACCCTGCACGAAGAAATTTTGATTCTATTATACGTACTACATTAAAAACCTTACTCTTTTGGAGTCCACAAATTTAAAGCAGTTATGTGCTATATGGCGAACTACGTACCTACTTGGCCCGGGGCGTCACCACGGCACTCGTCTCGGTGATCTGACAAAAAACCACAGCCTCGACGCGAGCCTTACAATCTATTCATTCGATCATTAAAGCAATGGTCCAATTTGCTATAAAAATAATTATTTGATACGAGAATTCACGACATTGCGACATCAAATACACAACAATTGTTAAAATACTAATTGCCACACTTTTAATGATGACATAAACAGTCGTCAACAAGTGTAGATTTCTCTGTATTAAGCGATTACTAAAAGACTGAGTGCGGCAGATTATAATTAAGCCGGAGCCAATCATACACTACAAACTGCAAACACCTACTGACAACTACACAAGACCGATAACTATGTTAATACTTTGGACGCATCAAGCTCATTCGATTACCTCCTAACGACCATAAAGTGACTATTACGAAAAATCAATAGAAGCATTTAAATAAAGTATTTTTTTTATTTTCAAATTTATTTTAATTTCAAACGTATTTTTAAAAGCCTGGTTATTACGATGAATTATTAATATGACAAAAAAAAAACTAATTATTTTGCAAATTGTATTTCCAGATTTATTATTACAGAAAAGTCAACTTAGGAAAATCAGCTTCGTTTCATTAAAATAAAATTGTTTTTAGCGTCTTTAGATAGCAATTTAAATGATATTACAAACCAAATAATGTTGAGTCTACTTGTTGAGCTCCGAGGGAAACAAAAAATCTTTAAATTTCAAAGACGAACAAACTCTACGACGAATTTTCAAAAATTAGTTTTTACATATTATCATGGTGTCATTAATGTAGCTCCTAAAATCATTAAATTGATTTAAAACTCATCCGTATTACAATAAACATCGAAGACCATCATTTTATTATTTTTCCAAATCATCGTTAAACCTAATTTCTCTCAAACTTCATTACAAATTTTTGATCAATTCATACTCAATTTAAAAGAAATAAAAAATATATTATAAAAAGACCAGACCAATGGAAGAACTTGTGTTCATTTGGAAAAAAACTTCTTTCAATACGAGTTTTATATGCGGACATTTCTTCATGTCACGTAAACAAAAACATTTGGTGCGAAAAGATCAAATAATAAATAAAAAACAATAACTAACTAGAAGCGGCAGTGACGACACTTATAAACTGATATTCTGTCTATACTGAAGATCGTAGAGGATTCTCTATTTTACCTGGCTCTATTATCTATATTGTTACAACACGTGCACCATAACATGAATACAACGAACCGGCACTTCAATACTAACGTTATTTTTGTTACATTAGTTCCACTTCTGCTGTCTACAAACAGTTGTTACGTCATAAACTCAGGTCACATGTTATAGCGCACGAATAGTATATAAACTCTATTTTTTTTTAAGTCAGAAACAAATAAACCAAATAACCGATATACGAAACATTCCTCAAAGTACATTTCAATATATACCTCTTAATCTAATATATGCATGCGTTTCCCTTGTTTAAGTTCTTAATTACTTTAAAAATAACTTAATAAAAATTACACTTACGTCTATCTAAGGTTTGGGGACTTTGTGTGAAGATCGAGAGTTTAGCTTCTTGTTTTAAAATGACCATAAAACGAAACAAAAAAATTAATAAAACAGAAATCATTATTCTTATAAAAAAAAAACAATAAAAACAAAATAAGCTCATGATGACACATTACATAAAGTTGTCAGATATATTAACCAAATTCATTTCACCACAGCTATTTAAGACAAAACTATTATTCTAGCGAACAACAGAATATGTAAGCCACGCGTAAAACAGCTGAAAAATGGCGCCAAAGAGGACCAAATAACTCGCGTCGGAATTTTACGCTTATCTTCACATAGCTCAATGGAATCATCACAGCCATTACAATAGATTTCCATAAACTTCAAAATAGCCAAGTATGAGACAACTTCTGATTTGTCATGTATTCGAAGTCCACCAAACCGAGTTATCTAGGCTATTTTTAACCTATCATAATCTAAAAAATATAATGAAAACGAAAAATAAAATTAATACGATATAGCCGCGTTAAATTAGTATATACGTTAAAGTTGTATTTGAACTTGAATGGCCCTAAACTGTCCCAACCAGTGCCGGCGCTAGGGTAGGGCGCGGTTGCAAGTCCCAAAGTGCTAGTCCCAAAATAGTGAAAACTGACTTAAGACTAAAGTTAAATTTTTAATTGTTACACTACAGTTAAAGACGACAATATCCTAACTGAGAACTAAAAATAATCAATGCAAAATATTTTTTATATCTATAAATACATGTATGTTTTCTGAATTCGAAGACTATGTTATATTACTTGAATTTGTTAATGAAATTCTATTTAAAAGCCGAGTTCCGTTCAATTAACAAAAAATACATTAAGAATATGTGGTGAGGCAATTTTTTTTAGATATGTTTCTACATAACACATAAACACATTCAGAACAATCGATTACATGATCTATCTAGACTATTTAGCTATTACTTACAGTATAATTCCCGCGCTTTTAAGTGTCAACACAAAAAATAGCTGATTCTGGCTCATCTTTCGCGAAAAAAAAAACGTTTGTGACTTGTGGTGACAGTTTTAGGTATTAGCTCGGATTGATATTAACATTGTGATAAAGAAATTGTTGATTTTTTAAATTTGTCCATAAAGCCATATAAGTATAAATTTTTTATCATAAAATATACGAGATGAGAAGGTTATTTTAGATGTAATATTAAATGACAGAAATCGAGAAAAGTCGAGTCGAAATAGTTGTAACTCTACGCATTTACAATACGATCTCTGTCCTCCATACAACAATAAAGTTATACGTTCATAAGTCTAATTACATTATTTGATGAAATAAACTTTTTCTACATTGAACGTTACGATTACGTCATAAGACACAGATAACATTATTGTGTGATAAGCAGAATGTTTTCAGATATGTGATGTGTTTGTAATTTGTGGTAAAAAAAATTGAAATCGATGTTACACACATCGACACTTATACACTATACACTGCACTCACAAACTCCAAAAGTTAGATTCTAAAACCAACGATTATTCAAATTATTCAAGTGATATTAGTGACAATAAATGTAAGATTACAAAATACTTTAAGGTCATTTGCATATTTATTGACATATTTAATTGTGATTCTGTTAAAAAATATCAGATGGGACCTTTTGAACACAAGCGTTAGACTTAAGAAACTTTTTTATTCTTACTTCAAATTACTATCTAAATATCTATTATCTGTGACGAGGAATTCCACATAGTTAACTTTACAATAAATCATTGCCAACGTTTCATTAAGGCACTGCATAGTGTTGCATTAAATATCAAAATGTTATATAAATATTGCTATTGCTCATTATTTCTTTGGCATAGTGTAACATATCATACAAGCGTATGATCATAAAGCTTTGATATAAATATTCATTGTAATATTTAAAAAAAAAAATATTTTTAATAAGAGCCAGGGGGCAATCTGACAGTGATCCTAGAGACATTTTGCTTTAAATGATTCCGTTAGCAAGAACTTAATTTAGAAAAAACCAAACACAAAACGAAAGATACATAATCTACTTCTCGTATAGAAATAATTTGAAAATCAACAAAATGTATTTTAAAATATTTAAAGGGAAACTTATGAAATATTTTTATATGGCAATAAATTTCAGATATTTTGCCCGAATTATTGCAAACACCTACATTGCTTAAACAATTTTAATCATATTTTTCACAAATCATCACTTGAATTAAATTATTAACAATTATTTCATGTAAAGTAATCAAAAAATCAAGAGCTTCTTAAATTATTAGAATTTATATCCAATTCATAATAATCAGAACAGATTATGTATATTTTTTGTTAAAAATAGCAACACTATCCAATGCTGTTAAATTGTGTACCGCGCGATTATAGATCAGCCAAATAGCCGGAGTACCTACAGATAGTATGCGTTTCGAATTAATATGGGAGGTTCAATGACCTCAATATGTCAAAAATTGCTGAAAAGTAAAGATTTTAATTGAAAATTACATTTTTATTTTTTATGTTCTGAAATATTATTAAAAATAACGGATTTATCATATTTTTAAGCAAATACACAATCTTATTTGAAACGCATTTTATCTACCAATTATTACAACTATAATACATTTAAATAATATACTTTTTACATATCGAAGACTCAACCGAAGTGGATGTTGCAAGAAATATATGTATTGCCATAACACATTCTATTATTTTGACTCCAATAAAATGACACATAAATTAGGTCCCAATTATTTTGGTCACGGCACATTTGACATTCTGCATTTTAATACATTGTGAAAGATATGTGAAAATACGGACCTAAGCCTACCACTTCGTACTTATGGTCTTAAATACGCGTAGATTAAAAAAACGTACAATATATGATGTTTTTGTGCAAAAGTAGTGTATGTTGAATCAAAATCAACCATTCCTAGCCTCAAATAACTGCCCTAACTTACAACAGTTCCTAAAATGTATTGCCGCCATCAAAAGCTGCTATTCATATTGAAGTGAAATATTCAAGAAATAGGCAAACAAGAAGATCTAACTCGGTTAGAGTCGTTACTATCTGTTTGTTCTGTCAGGAATTACTTAAAACCTTCGCAGATGTACAAAAAGCATTAAAGGAAAAAAAAATGACAACAATTCCAAAAGGATGTTATGAAACTTTTTTGACACTGACAGGAGGGCGCTAGTGAGCATTATTATTTCTTTCATTCACCAGGTTAAATAATTGTCAGTCTGTACAATGAAAGTAAAAAATCGTTCTCTGATCCAGAAAAACTCAAAAACTACTGCAATACTTTTTTTTATGAAGAAAATCGCTTTGAATTCGAGCTATAGTTCAATAAATCAACAAACAACTACTATATAATCCATTATCTTTTTTTGTTTAAGTCACTACAATATTGCCTTAATTACCTTAGTACAAAGATCATACTATAAAATATGTTTTAGATTTCAAAGGACAGTAATCTTTTGACCAAATATAACAAGAGATATGCTAATATACAACTAGCACAATTTTTGACTTCTTTACATATATTTTTAAAAATTGTTCCTTTTAACTTGTAGGTTAAATCCAATTGTCCACCCTTCTAGCCATTGAGGTAGCTACGCGTCTTTTCCGTACTTATAATCGAGAAAAAATTATAATAAAAAAACACGCAAAACTAATTTACCACAAACCAAAGTATTACAAATTTTCAACATGAAATGTAGTTCTATAATTTTCAACGATTTTTTTCACTAATTAATAATTCAGTATTAGTGATTGTTCTTTTGTCAGTAATTGGACGGTGAATAGGGAAACATGTATTTTATTTATGTAATCATATCTAGTAACCAAAGTAAATATAAATAAAAATTGTCTCCTTTGGAACAAGAGAATATTTAATTAATTCTCTGCAGAATATTCATCATGTAAAAGGCATATTCAATATTTTTGTCTGGTTGTTACAGGATTTATTAAAGGTTTGATGTACAGTCGCGTGAATCTGTGGTGTTTGACTTACAGAGAAATTTACATTTGTGGAAACGAGACAAACACTACCTTTTTTTACAAATTCATCAATAATAACAAAAAGATTCGATGACCATAATAAAATCTAATTAACCCACGTCGTCGTCTTACTGTGTACGAAACTTTCACAGTGAGCAGTTTTGCAGATGTAACACTGCCAGATATCCCGATTGTACATATTCTGAAGAATGTGCGTGTATTCTAGACAGATATACAGCTGCCACGGTGTTTTCCATTGATGAAATCAATCAGTAGGGTAGTCTTACTGTAATGTTAGTGTTACGTCAAGCCGCGGTTACACTTATACAAAAAAGATTATGAAAATAATACTTATTTTACAATGTCATGTGATGAGTGTGGTTGAAATGAAATCTAAATCTATTTAGAAAGTGACCTATGTGATTGTCTGTACAATATAAAAGTGATAAGAAACTGAAACAATTAGCAATCATTTAAATCGTGTGTCTTTATATTTTACCGTTAATATTTAAAAAAAAAAATCTTTATGTATCTCTGACATTTGATATGGGTCACAATTATATGCCTGGTTTATGCTAGCAATTTTCAAAATCACCTGGCACACAACTGGCATTGTAAATCTAGCCTGAATGAGCTAATACAGGCCAGTTCTGTGTTAATGTCCAACTGCACTGGCATGTTTCCTAGGCATAAATCTGATGGTGATCAAAATTAAATGCAATATCTAAGCAGAGTTGTCAGTTCTGCATTGCAACGCATGGTTAGAGTGTCTATATGTTTAGTTTTGTTATTTCAACAATTTTTTGTCATTAGTTTTAATTACAAATAGTTAATATATTTTTCTCTCGTTTGTATTATTTGTTGAAGTTGTGTTTTTGAGGTGGTGACAGCAGCAGCAGTGCGTTAGGCGAAGTACATGACCTTCTTGGTGACGGCGTGGACGGTGATGGCGCGCGCCATGGCGCCGGGCGTGCGGTCCTCGCTGCAGGCGGACTGGTGGCTGCCCTCGCCGGAGTCGTGCTCCTTCTCCACGAGGTGGTAGCGCGCGCGGAAGGCCACGAGGTGCGCGTAGTAGGCGGGCGCGGGGATGGACACGGAGCGCGTGCAGCGCACGTACGTGTGGCACAGCTGGTACGTGAGGCACTGCAGCTCGTCCGACCCGAAGTGGTTGTCGTCCCACAGCACGTGGTAGTGGGACGGACGCGATGTACCCTGAAACACGGTGATTAACTTTATTTCCTCAAACACAACGTATATGTAGTTCCTAAAGTATTGCTAATGTCTCTGGGTGTCGCTGATTACTTTGGTGTTCCCGTCGCTCGTTGGCCCCCTTACATTATAAAATCATTATTTATTTATTCACATTTTTAATTGCAAATACTTAAATAAAAACAAAGGCCCTTGCTACTGGCTGTGATTTTAGGTAACCATAGCAACCTTGATTCTTTGTTGCTATTGGCTTGTACTTTTTGTCGTTTAGTCGCAGAGCAAATTTTCCAGTTTACTCGCCCTCTAAGTATAACAACGTGGAAATAGATATCCTAAAGCGTGTGGTAAATGTAGAGAACTTTACCAAAAACATATGCAACAACATGTAATTCCTGTCATCCTATAAAACAAAGTGTTCGAGGCGTGGTACCTGTATGCCCTGGTGGCTGCAGAGGTAGAAGTCGAACTCGGTGGGGTGCGTGATGCCGAGGTCGACGGTGGTGCCGGCGGGGATGTTGCCCGACTTGCCCGACTGCTCCTTCTTGTCGGCGCAGAACAGCCGCGTGTGGTGCCGCTTCTGCACCACTATGAACGTAATGCCCGGCTTGTACTCCGCCTCCAGCTGAAAACGTGCAAACAATAACATTATAATGGGACATATCTGAAACTAGCTGTTTTCGTTCAGTTCGGCCCGCATATTATAAAACCTTTATTTTATTGTTTATATTCAAGCCTCATCATCATCACCAGCTCAGTATACGTCCCCACCGAGGGGCTCGGAGCCTACCCCAATTAGGGGTGGCTAGGCCATAGTCAACCACGCTGGCCCAGTGCGGGTTGGTTGACTACACACATATCTTTGAAGTTCTTCGCCGAAATGTGCAGGTTGCATCACGATGTTTTCCTTCACCGTAAGAACGTCGGGTAAATTATGTACATACGAAAATTCGAAAAATCGAAAATCACATTGGTGCATGACGGGATTCGAACCCATGACCTGTAGATTACAAGTCAAGTGTTCAAACCACTGAGTCACCGACGCTCTTGTGTAAATGTAAATGTCAAAAATTTAAATATTTAGAAACAAAGGCCTTCGCCACTGAGTAACCTTTACTATCTTTTTTGCTGCTATTGGTCTGTAGTTTTTGTCTCATTTTCGCATAACGATTTTATTAAATTATTAACCCTTTAAATTGAATAGCGTGAAAACATATAGCCTATAGCGCGCAAGTGTTGAGCTGGTATCCTATATAACAAAGAATTTACGTTTACATTAGTATAGATTGTTAATGCAAACTTGGTACCTTAATGCAAGCCTCGCGAACTGCAGTGAGCTCATGCTGCAGCACGTGGATGAACTGTCCCTCGGAGATGCCGTCGCGGTACATGATGATGCGGTGCGGCTTGAACCCGCCCGTGCTCTTGTAGAACATGATCAGCAGCTCTTGCACCATGCTGCTCATCTCGTGCACTATCTCCTGTCTGTCAATGCAACAGTTGCAACGGCACATTATCATAATTATAACGTTACGGACAAGAACCATACTAAAATATATTTGTAAGCAGCTAGTTTTCACCCGCGACTCCGTCCGCGTGGAATTGTAAAAACAAATGAGTACCCTAAGTGTTATTTCAGAGTATTCTTTATGTGTATGCCAAATTTCATCGAGATTCGTTTAGCAGTTCAGGCTAGAAGCTCTAACAAATATCCATCCATCCATCTAAATTTTCGCGTTTAAAATATTAGTAAGATTTGCGATATATCTTACATGTAGAAAAGTTCATAGATTATACATCTTAAGGTGTCAAAGATTATGAACTTTTTGTCGTCTTTTGTAAAATGTCTTTTTCTAAAATGTCAACATCTCAACCCGTTGATTTTTCTCTGAATGTACTGAAGGAATAAATAACACATAAAGTTAGATACCTATGCTGCTGCACGCGAACCGTTGCTGCATATCTTGAAGGGTGAGCATCCATCGAGCCCACAACGGCAGCAATGGATGGCTTCTTATTGTCTCCAGCCGGAGGATGAGTCACATCCACACCCAAGAAGATAACCGGCTCATTGAACACCTAGAAATTACATTTACAACTCCAAGAAAATATTCAACAGACCAAATTAGAACATGCGTACGACAAACGTAGTATAGCTTCGAATGCAGCCAATATGAAGCTATGGCGGCCATTTTGATTTTCTTTTAAAAAACATGTTTTGAAAATAACCGACAGAAACGGAATCGTATTTTTTTTTAATGTTATTGTAAAAGAATGTAATCTTCAATTATTTATTAATTTTAGTAACAATGTAAACGTTTCTTGTCCTAAATGTTTTCTTAAACCGAAAAATTTTATATCTGTTTATTTTAAGCTTTTTTAAAGTTAATGGCGGTGCATATATAACTTCATGAAATTTCATATAACTTCAGTAAAACTCTTGACCTATAATGTTCTCAGCTACATATTTTAGTTTTTCAGTACATAATTATTGAAAAATCAGAAAATTTTGTTGGTGATATTAATTTTGAAACTTGAAAACAATGAACTTTTTTTTGGCCGTCTTAAAAATATATTAAAGCAATAAATATGCAATCAATGCCACCTTAATTCTACATATCATTTTTTATTCTTTTAATAAAGGTACAGCATTATTCTAAGATGTACATACAACACTGTCCTCTGCATGGCAGTTACATTATGGCACTTACACCTGCAGGCACAAACATTAAAATATGACTAACAATTAAAGAAAAACAGTTGCAAAATGTTATCCGCTTACATTGATACCGTCCGTGCTTTGGGCACTGTTCGGTTCTATACTCTGTCGCGACTCTTGTTCACCGCACCGCGTATACTATGAAGAAATAACCATTGCATATCATTTAAAATAACACTAATATTTATAGTCCACATACAACCCTATCTGCGTTGAAAATTATTCAAACACATTTTCCTCATCAGTTCATCCAATTAAGTTGCGGTTAGTGGCACTAAACTTACGTTGCAGGAAAAATAGAAAAACTATAGTTATGTAAGTAGGTATTGACAACCAATTAACTTCAATATGAATAAATAGTACCTTTGGACGCAGGGATGGTACCAATATAGAGTTGATGCCTCCGAGTTTGACGTTAATCTTTAAACAGAGGTTGCTGAGCGTCTGCGGAGAGGTTTTGTTCACATTCTTGGCTTGCACACACTGTGTCGCCATTCCGAGCACCGTGTCACCTACACGCTTCACTTCAGCTAAAAAAAAAAAAACTTATTACATATTATAAATATAAAATACTTAACAATTATGAAAAAGTAATCGTTTTACATAATGATTTCTACAATACAATGGGCCAAGTAGCAAAAAAATTGCAAAACATCTTGAAAGCAACTAACCAATTTAAAGATTCTATTGTATTTATTGATATTTAGAACAATAAAGATCAAAAGAAAATATTTCTATTCTGGTCAATATTAATAACTCATAACAGAAGCTTAAGTTGTGTTTGTAACAATAACATACCATAAACTGGTGTCTTCCCTGGCAACACTACCACAACTAGCTGCAGCTGCACAAATGTGGACTTGAGGTATTTGAACATTGGCTCCACCTGGTCGGGTCCAGTTGCATACTTACAGAAGCATGGCTGCCCAATTATGGGCATACCTGCGTCATTCGAGATCTTTTGTAGCTGCTGCGTGAAGTTTCTGCAAAGACAGATAACATTCCATTTACATTTCTTAGTCTAATTCCACATAAACATTTTTTTTAAAGATACATACTTGAGGGCATCCTCCCGAACAGTCCTTTGAGGTGCAAAGCAGGCAATCGCCCAAACTCTGATTTCAACTCCCATAAAGAACTGTTTCCCGCGCATGTCCCACACACCTTGGTTGGGTAATGCCTGCTGTTAACATAAATTACTATATCTAATATTAAAGGATAAATTATTTTATTTTATTATTGTCGTACATCTTTTTACCTAAATTAAAGATTAATTAAAAATAAAACGATTGTTGAAATGCGATCAAATTACATAACACACAACAAGGTTTATTCTAAGAATTGAATTGAATTGTTTGAACTTAAAAGTACCGAAACATTTGTATCAGCATTTTTAAAACATGCTTTATATTCGGCTTAATCTACCCTTATATGAATAACATATATTTATTTATTTTATTTAATTACAAACACTCCTATATTTTAAAAAACCTTTATTACCATTTGTAAATTTAGCATACCTGACCACCCAATGAAGAAACGCGTCCACCATATTGAAGTTTCGGTGGTGGTAGAACACGGCCGCGAACTTCCATCATATTATTGGATATTGTTAAACCAAACTCCTTTACGTAAAGGTCTGTATTGAAGTTCGCGCGACGAACTAAGTTGTTGATTTCCCGCTCCCTAAATTACAGACATTAAGGATACATAAACATACCTTTCATTGAATAAAAAGGGATAAGAGTAATAATGTAATAAGTTTTGGTAGTGGAAATCAATAGTTATATATGTTGACTGCAAAGTTGAAAAAAAATTACTAACAAATAATCGATTTTAAAACTACATAAGCTTAATTGATCGACACTAATGAATTAATTATTTCTTCTTCAGTGCGAGGCGCGACGCGACCGCGAACAAAAGTTAAATAATACTCGCCCTGAAGAAGGATCCCCGAAGGATCCGAAACTAGTCGGTGCCGTCACCGGAGGATAAAAGCGTGAGTTGAGCCGTTTTTAATTAATTTTCGCTTAAAGTAATGTCTCACGATAGTTTAAACAATTTAATTCTTCAATCACTTAGTAATAAGATTATAATAAATTCGAGGAAAATATATTAACCTCTCATTTCCCTATTTAATTATATCACATTATCAAATAATATACTCAACATTTTCATAATTCTAACGAAAATATGTATTACATTGTAAAAGCCTCAAATTATTTCATCAACTGTTTATGATATATTATAGCTGTTTAGCATTAGTAAAATCCTAATTAATGACAATGATACAATTCTTAAAACAATCAATAGAATCCTTATAGAAATTCATTGAAAATTCCAAACTTTTCTTACATACAAGTGAATATTATTAACTAGTGATAATTCCTTAGTATAAATTGAATGAATTAAAGTGTGTCACTTAGAAATCTATTTACTAATGTTATTCTATTGAATTTAGTTAATAATAATAAATACAGCAATGTAGGAAGTTACTTACCTATCAGGTGCAGATCGAGCAGTAGCTTTAATCATAGTAGAAGTCTGCATATCAGTTAACTTCTTAATGCATCTTTGCCCTGGGACAATGTTGCACACTTCTAAAGGCAAATATGTATGCTTATGTTCCTGACCCACTTGGAGACACGGCAGGTGGGGATATCTGAGTTTCATCTTATACTTATCCAAGAAATATTTAGCTACTGTACACTCTACTGTTTGTCCATTATCTAATTGAAGTGGGAACCTGGTAAATGCAATTAATAAAATTAACTTTAAAAATTTGAATTGTATTTCGTAAAAGCTGTCGCCTGCAAACTTCAAGCGAAAATTTGGACCACCCGTTACGCCATTTTGCCAGCGCGAAAAGAGTAGCTTATAATATGCCTATCCATATGAGGTACCCTCCAGTGAAAGTCCCGTCGAAATCGACCCAGCCATTTTGGAGATTACCAAGAAAAAACGCGCCTTGCGAACAGACAGACAGACAAAAATTTTTTAAATGCGATTTTCGTTATCAGCAACTTACGTTGCTTACATCATCTTCCCGAAATCTGGAATTTGTCTTTTGATATTACAGACACTGCAATTTTTTTATATGTATGTACAGATATAGAACATATAGATAATACTTACGATTGCATTTGTGCTGGTCTACGTGTAACATTGCACACTCTATATTTACGTTTCATTGTACCACAATGAGTGATCTCAATCTTGAGTCCTTTGATTTCCTTTGTAAATTTAACACGCTGAGAATCTGTCAGAGGCTTTCTTTGGTCATTTATGTCCCTTATATCTAATACTTCACACATGAACTCTATCACTGGTTGAGCTTTATAAAACGCAGTTGCAGACACTGTTGGACAACATTTATAATTTACTAAGTATACAAGTTTTAATAAAAAAATAAAGGAAAACAGTAAAGAAATATAAACAAACCATCAATATTTAGCATCATTTTCCATTGGCTTGGTCTCACAGACTGATGGAATCCAAACCACACTTCTCTGCCACCACCAAGAGGATGATAATATCCCTCAGGAGATGAGAAAAATGAACGTCCAACAGGTGTATACATCATGGAAGGCAAGTGTCTCATCACTACATCCAATGCTAATATAGCATCATATGGAATTTGTCTTGTGCGGCCCTCTAGTGCTTCTTCCAATGCAAAAAGTGATACCTTCAAAATATTAAGATTGTAATAAATTTTCAAACATACATTGAAAGTATAAATTAGCTAGTCCAGTTAAAAAAAAACTTGTGTACAATTTTTGACCGACTTCCCAAAAGAAGGAGGTACTCAATTCGTCTGTATGTTTTTTTTTTAACAATACCAATCATACTATTAAATATTTTAATTTATCAACTCCTACCTGAGCGACCCATTTAATGGTGACACGAAAAACTCTATCCTTTCCCTCTCCTGGTAATATTACTTCTAATTCAACTCTATCATTACCAATTGGTAAAGGATCCCTTGTATATAAATTGTTCCTTCCATCAAAAACTGGCTTCAATGTGCCAAATATTTTATTGTAACAGTGAACCATTGTTTCTACTATTTCCCTATTTACCTGGAAACAAGCATTTTTACACCATTTTTATATAAAATGTTATACATACTCATAATTAGGTCAAAACAAAAATGGATGATGAAACTTACCTTTCTAGGACACTTATCTGGCTGTATATTAACATCATAATGGTGTACAAAACCTCTAGGCATTGATATTTGAAAATGATTTGCTCTTAGCATAATCGGTCGACCTTCATGACCGAGGTTAGGACGGCGTGGACATGTTAGTACTGGTAAATCGGGAGGAGGTGCCGCAGCTGGTGGAACAAGCGCCATGGCGCCTGCCCCACCCGCGACTGGAGGCGGGGCCCCAGTTGCTGGCGCGGTGCTCGGAGCTCCGGGCGCTGCAGCTGTAGCACCCGCCGCCGCGGTCACAGCACCAGTCACGCCTACTGCACCAGCACTCGTCTCCCCCGTTGGAGCTACAATAAACATATCACATACTTTACTGTGCTTTATAATTTGTTTCTAATAGACACTTCACATTTCGCCTTGCCTATACTTTCTACTACAAACGACATTATTAAGGGCAATCAAACAAAGGATTATTATGTCTTCCTAATGCTCAATAGGGTCATTATAAAACACAAGACTTACGTTGGCCAACGGGGTACATTTTAGCATACACTTATATATACAAGATTATGAAACTTAAATATTAAATAGGGTTTCTTATTGAAATTATAGCAATGTGCTCTAAAAGATGTGGCTTGAACTGCAATTTTATGTTGCACCTTGACGTTTGTTGATGGTTTTTGACATAAATTTAGAACAGATAAGAGATTAAAATGTTTTAAGTACTAAATTTCCTCTTTGGTTTATGCAACACAAGAACCGTTAAAAAAGGTAGAAAAACTGATTAACTAATGGTATTTACTAAAAACTTGTAGCCTTAATATTGGTAATGGGACTGAGAACTACATAAAAACAGCATTAAACTAAACCTACCACTTAAAAGCAAAAATACGCAAAACAATAAATTTGTTTTATTTGCTCTGTGAAATGTTTAAGAATAACATGGTGATTGTCTATGGTTAACTATTTTTGCACCCCTCAATTTTCCGGGAGAAAAAGAAAATATGTCTATCCCTTACAGTGGAACTGTACGAAGATCAGGGGGTGTAGTATCAGCAATAGCAAAACAACTCAGGGGTGTAAATCTCAAGGCAGCTAAAAGGATCACAGTCAAATTCGATCCATTTAGTGAAAATGTTGGTCATACAAGGTAAAATTAAGCCTTATAACCTGTAAGTCCTGCTGTATATTGCCATATCATACGTCATGACACTCCCATTTCTTTAGTTCATTCTGGGCTTAAATTAAGTGATATCGTTTGCATATTTCATGAACAAAGTAAAAACCTCACACTTCTCATTTAGTAAGTGTACTCTTTCTTTTTATCTTGTATAAACATACATTGTATTATTGATTTTAGATTGCAGAAGGTACCTTTCAATATAACATTGTTTACTCGATAGTTTAAGTAATGAATAGCTTCCTATGACATTTATTATTTTTATACCTTGATTATGAAATTTCTTTAACTATCAGGATCTTCATTTTTCAGGAACTTCCTTCATTTTATAAGCTCACCAAAAATCGCTGTAACAAATCCAAATTGTTCCCTCAAAACTGAAGTAGTGTGTGATCGCAGTGAACCAACTATCAATATATCTATTGCTCCTTCAATAGCAGGTATTTATTTATATTAAAGAAAAAAATTCAATTATAATTGTATGCATTTTACAGTTAATTTCTTGACTTAAAATTTTTTTTATTTTTAGAAACAGCAAAAGTGAAAAACGTTCTAATCAAGAGTAGTAATCTTACATGTTTAGAAATTTTACAATTATTGAATAAGCACATCTCTTCACTTGCCCCTGTTGAACAAGTATCTGCAGTTGTTCAAACTAAATCCGAGAAAAAGAAAACAAAAAAGAAGTAAACATGGTGCGCTCAAACAAAGGCAACCTGCATGTTGTAGAAGAACTTTACAATCAAATACCTGCATTTACTGATGTTTTCTCCGAAGATACATTTTATATATTTGTGGTATTTTTTGTTTTGTCAACAATTTTGGTTGCTTTTATTCTGTCAAGATTTATCACTATCAAACCTGTAGAGTAGTTTTTAAGTAATTAAATTAGAATGTATAAGTGAACATTTTTCTCTTTTATTTATTAAATCAAACAAATACACATTGTATAGAATGTTTTATTTAGAAAGATATTAATTTACACCAGCAATGATAATTTAATCGAATGCTAGAATTCTTGTGCTCCCCAACGAATCTGCAAATAAAAATATAATTTACCATATAATACGAAATTAACAGTGGCATGGAAGGTGTTAAGTTTAAAAAGATTTTATAAAACATACATCTTGATTGCGCGCTTTATGCTTCCTCTCTACAATAGATGTAAGTGCTTCTGATCGTACAGCCAATGAATCGATTCTCTCCACTAGCTGCTGGTAGGGGGAGAGGGGTTGTGCACCCATCACAACATGGCCCAGCTTAGAATCTATCTTGGCGTCCAGTCTCGCGTTACGAATCAAATTCACAATCCAGCATTCAGCTTCATCTGGTTGCATATTTAGGTTCTCTGCCAACATTCTACAAAGAAGCAAATATATTACACAACATACTAGAAATTAATAAACAAAACTGATGTATAAGTACACATACCCAATACTGATAACTTGATGTATTCTGCAGAATGTTTCAAAGATCATTAAACGCGCGTTCTCAACAAACTCCTCTAAGCAGGCGATCAAAAAGAAGTCCGTGAGCAGAACAGCTTGACACTGATTCAACTTCCTACGAGCAGCTTCGAAATCAAAGTTAACATACAAATGTTCAATGAACTCGGTGATTGGATCTCTGAAATAATAATTAAGAAAGTTTTGATTAATTAAATTACTTCATTTTCCTTAAGTAAATTAGATACATGGTTAATTCTTTTTAGTTATGAACTCGTACTATACCTGTATGTATACGCCTCCTGTTGAATTACTTTCACAAGGTCTTTCAAAGCATTACGCCGAGATCTATTAATAATGACGGCGGTGGCCAAATAACGCAGTATGTGCGGACACATCGTTTGAATAGCATTTAAATACCTGAAACAATAAAGGATAATATCACATTTAGCAGTAAAGGCCTTTTATCTCTGTCTTATGTACTGTAACAATAGAGAAAACTGCTTGTATCTTTCAGAATTATTATTAACTTCATAATCGATTTTAATTATTAATGACTTATAAATAGCGATAAGATGGTGATACAAATATTTATATTGAAAAGCTCTTATCGTTAAATGTACATATTTTGAACTTACAATGGTTTGTATAAAAACATCTCAATAATGAGGTCTCTGCCCTTCACATGGTTGAAGAAGACGAATAGCGACCAGTGGACCAGCCAGGTGCGTTGTTGCAGCGCCTGCATGTTGCTGGCGGTCGCGCCGCCGCCACCGTTGTCGATAAACTCGCGTAACTTAGTCAGGTCGTCGAGTGCTCCGTCCCAGTTTTGGACCAAAATCTCACTTGCTAGTTTACCCCAAAGTACCGAAAGATAATTCTGTAACAAGTACATCATTCAACTTTCATGTAAAAAATATATTTATATAATGATCTATGTATATATGATGATCTATTATTCTATTAATATCATAAATGCGAAAGTTTAGATGGATGGATGTTTGAGTTTATAGTCTAAATGGCTGAGTGGATCTTGATAAAATTTGGCATAGTTGTGTAGGAAAGTTTGGAAGAACACATAGACTACATACTTTTTTACATAATTCCACGCGGACGGAATCGCGAGCAAAAAATTGAATATTCATAAATATTTGTATATAATTATTAAGTAGTACATTACAACCTTTTTAAGTCATCTGTCTTAAACCGATTTTTTTCTTTGATGCTTATTTTTTAAGATAAAAAAATGTCAAAAAGACATTTGCGAAAATGTCAGCAAAGTTAATAGTGCACAAATTTGAGGAGGGTTTTGATTTTAAATCATTATTTATAACAATTGGTAATGATTTCACTGAAACTACATTTGGTAATTGGTTGGATGGGATAACAGAACAGAAAAAGAAGAGCCCGGAAAATTCTCGTTTAATTATCAAAGTGGTGTCAGGTAATGAAATGAAATATATAGATTTAGATTCATGTTGTAAAGAGATATCCAACAATTCAAGTCCATATGCAAACTACGAACCAGATTGGAAAGAGTCTCCGAAAACATCCTTGAGTAAAGAAAAGCCTCAAATTATGAAAATATCTCTACTCAATGATTCTACCAGTAATAACGAGAGAGAGACAGCAACTGCTGAGGATTTATTTAAAAATACTCCATTAGAAAACAGTTCAATTCATGAAAACATTAACCCACTTGAATACAGCCTAGAAAAGGTAAAAGAAACTAATGCAAGAATCATGAAAAATATTCAAATGTTAAATAGAACTTTGGATTATACAAAAAAGAAGGAAGTACTAAATGTTGTTTGGCCTTGTTCGAAGAACATGAACACACACCCCTGTAATGTATGTGGTAAACATTTTGTTTACGTAACTGGATTGAAGAAACATTATGCAATGAGACATGTTATGACAGAGCTCCAACAACAATGGCAAGTTGTGTGGACTTGCACAGAGTGTTTCCAAGTTTGGCCATGTCGAGACTTAGCGTTAAATCATTCAGGGCAATGTGTGAAAGAAGAAAACACAGACTGTGTACGAGAAATAAAAACATCATCACTTTTACAATGCGAATTTTGCGAGAAAGTATTTACAAGTATCCCGAGATTACTAAAGCACTCGAAAGTGCATACAATTGCAAGTAATTATGAATGTAATGCTTGCAGCATGAGTTTTCAATCATACAAAAATGCAGAACAGCACTGGCTTTTCTGCCCTTGGTTGAATATGTGTTACAAATTTGCATTACCAAAATTACTTCTGTGTAATGCTTGTGATCGTAAATTTAGAAACTACGAGCAACTCTATAATCACAGGTCTATATATATCTTTATAATCCAATAATCATATTAAGATATCTCTTACAATTGCTTTTATTTTCAGGTACAAAGTAAATCATTTTATGGCTAAATTGAAAATTGAATGCAATGGCAAGTCCCCATTTTTAGTTTACCAGTGTGAAACATGCGGGGAGTGGTTTCAATCTATAATTCTTTTGCAAGCACATAGAAATAACTTTCACCCTCATTATGATTCTGGAATTTTATGTAAATCTGATTCATTTACTACCTAAATATATGTTGCTTTAATTCAAGTTTGTTGTTATTACAAAAAAACAATGAAATTTTTGCCATTTCTGTGAGAGAAGTCATTAAAATCTATCACTTGAATCCATCCATCATAAATTCGGTACTCTATTACAAGTATCACTTTTAAATAATCTTTACCTTACTGGTAAATAATATATAAAAAATCTACATGTTGAATATTAGTTTAAAAAACTTCTTACCTTATCAGTGGGTGACATAACGAGCTGACAAAAGTAGAGGTATGATGCAGACTCTTCATAATTACCACACTCATACCTATATTTAGCCAATTGATACATGCTATCAATCATCTCAATTTTGAACTAAAACAATAAAAATAAATCAAGTTAATTTGTATTTAATTTAAATAACAACTATAAATTCAGTTAAGGTAGAGTACAGAGAGTCACAGCTTAATAATAACTATTTAATATGGTAAATAGATACAAATTATAAATATAGATTTGATATATCCATTGAAAGCATTATCTCATCATATGGCCAATTGAGTTAGTAATATTCAACTAATTGATTTAAGAACAGAAATAAAAAAAGAACAATAGAGTTATTCTCACCTCAAACTCCCTGTTAGTTGTCAAGTAGTTAATAAGAGTTTTAGGATCTCTCATAGTCTCAACGGTTTTCATAACATCATCTCTCTGCATGAGACGGAGTACTGGTTCTACTGCATCCTGCAGCTCTTGTAGCTGAGAGAGAACGACACCTCGGCGGGCCTTTATCTCCTAAAATAGAGAAAAACCTTACAAAAATAGTCAAATACAAATGATATAAGAAGTTTAGTAACTATAAAAATTTAAGTTAGAGTAATGTTCGTCTTACCTCTGGAATACCTTCCGAGGGGTAAAGGGATTTGCGAATGTCTATAACATAGTCAATCATGTTAGTTTTACTGAGTATCTCCAACTTTGCTTGTAGTAGTTCCGACTGATCATATGTCTGCAATTAAAATTGAAACATACAGCAATTTTTACAACAATGAATACGTGAAGTTTACTAGAAACGAAAGCATTTCAAACGAAGTAAGCATCAGCAATTATAAAATAAATTTAACCTCTTTAGCGGCTAAGAATTCCAAAAGTGGAAACACCAAGTGTCGGTCTAAATATTGACCTATTTTAAAAGTTAGATCAAATTTTGAATAACTCATTTTTACTAAATATTATCGTAACGCTACATAAAATAACCAAGATACTCGTGTCCAGAAAGTGACAACTCTCAAGGAAAGGAATTTATTTTATCTATGGAATTGGGACATTTCATTTACATTTCACTTCACGCATACATTATAATGTAGTTCAATTAAAACTTATGTTTTTATGGTCGGTAAGCGTCATTCGCTTTAAGCTTCTTCGATGTTCTGTTAATATTTGTGTTATAGATAAAAATATGATCAATCACTACAATAGGAATCTTTAAACAAAAAAACAAACATTACTTTTACTACCACAAAGCTGTCTGTCTTACTTTCATGCAAGAAATCAAGAAACTGGAACTGGCAACTTTGTGTCATTCACGTCAACGTTGAACGTCGGTATTATGTGTTTTGTTTTATTCGCGTTTTAAATATTTAAAACAAGTTATTAATGATCGAATTCTTATCAAATTATCTTACTTAATATTATTTATCGTTTTTTAAATAATCTAAACCAACTTGTACTGACGCTATTGGAGAGGACTACAATCGGCGCCTTTTTGCAGCTTGTTGGATTTCAAAATGGCGTCCTGCGTGTTTATAGTTAGACGCGGTGCTTGTGTTCTAAGTGGCTAAAAATAGAGGAGTTTTAAATATATTGTGGCACAATTTCTTAAGTAAAATGGCCAATACCGTAATAACTAACTATACAGATCTCAATGGACCTTCATCTAAATCTGATAGTTCAGTTGTTGTTATTGTCAACAAGGATGGATCTCTGTCTGTGGATCAAAACTTATTGGGTACTCTCATGGGTTGGTTCTTTTTCTATTTTTGGTTTGTATAAAACGGTTAAATGCATGTTATATTTTGATTTGTGTATTAAACAATAAAACTGCTAATACTTTACAAATCGCATCTAAAGGAAAATTTATAGTAATATACGGAAAATTAATGATGCAGATAAGTTTTATTTAATAGCCTATTTTGTAGTGGTAATGTAAAAGTTAGTTGTGCAACATAATATCTTAAGTTTTAGGTAACTATAACAAGTGGTTAGGTTAGGAATGTTTAATGGTATATTTTTGTTTGTAAACAATTCAGTAGTACAGCATTTTTTAAAAAAGTAGGTGTGATTTGATCAAAATATTGACCTACCAGATATTAAAGCATTCTATTGTATTTGTTCTATTATAGTTCCTATCATTATTTAAAAGTTAAAAAGAAATTAAGAAAATACATATTGCAGGTTGTCATATATTATCCTGATATCTAAGTCACTTGTATAATTTTTTCGACATGTATATTTAATAAATGTATCAAATATTTTAGGGACTGATGGATCACAGAGTGCTGGTATAAGTGTGGTCCGGGTTGGCCATGAAGGCCGACCTGATGATGCCACTGATTCTGAAAATGAAGATGATAAGATACCACATGTCACACTGTCTGTGGACAGCTATTATGATGAACCCAACAGCATTATCAAGTATGGTAAGGATAGTTTTTACTGTTAGTGAAATAATTTAGTGATTTAAGAACATAAATGTTTACTTGATTAACTTTTAAAGTTATTTGTAAAGCTTAAAAACTATTGACTGATTACTGGTTTATCCCTTTTTTGTGTAATTCTGCATTACAGATAGTGGTGCTGAAATGTTACAATCCTTAAGGATAGAAACAAGGGAAAATAGTTTAGTGGGATTCCAAAATGACCACTGTTACACATCACTTACATCACCAAGCCAAGTATTGCCACAAGGAAATGAAACATTTATTGGTTTTGAGGATCCTGTTATTGAAATAACACACACACCACCACCAAAACCAGTTCAAAGTAATAAAAAGATCACAATCTTGGAACAGCAGATCATTCCTAAAGGTAAAAAGATAATCTTAAACCCAGCAGAAGCATCTGTGATATTGAAGGGTAATGACCTTTTACATAAACCTCTACCTGTCTTTACTAAATCAAAGCAACTTGAAGTTGAAAAGAAGGCAGAAGTGGAGAAAAAACATGATGAAAACAGTGATTCATCATCAGTCAGTTCATCAAGTGAGAGTGCTCCTGACAGAGACTCAGATTCTGACTATAAAGATACTAAGGACAGATCATTGTCTATGAAGTTAAAGAAACCTAAAATGAAACCAAGGATTTTAAAGACTTCAATGTCCTTAAAGGAAACAAAACTAGATGTTAAAACTCCAAAACCTAAAGCTAACAGGAGTATAGTTCGAAGAGATATAAGAGAAAAGATTCAACAAAAGAATGCTATGTTTGAAAAGAAAGAAATTGATTCACCAATGACTCCAAATAAAGAAAGCCTTCTATCATCAGTCACCTCTGGGCCATTTAGTGATCAGAGCAAAGTAGTATCTAAACAAGTACAAAAAGTTGTTAAAAAGGAAAAGAAAACCCCAGCTCATGTGACTGCTCTGCTCTCTGATATGACTTCACTATTCTCAACTCCAGATGTTATCAGAAGGGTATCCACAGACACTAAAATTGTATCTAAACCAGAAAAAGATTCAGTGCCAATGAATAAAAAATTAAACATGTCTTTAAAATCACCAGAGATACATGATACAAAAGGTGTGGATCCTAAGAATGATATTTCAGATAAGCTTAAACCACCAGTGGCACAGAAAACATATATAAAGCAAAGTAATAAGATTCCCACGGATAAACCTGGTAAGACTTTTGATGCTATCCCACAGTTGGATGATATGAGTCTAGCACAAATTCTGCAAGACACAACAACACCAATGAAAATCCAACCAAACATACCTTCAAATGTAAGCCCAGGTTTGGCCGAGCCTTTGTTACCTTCATTGGTTCTGTCTGATCTACAGCCAATAGAAGAAGGTTTACCAGAAGATGTATTGATGCATGTTGCACAATTAGTGGAAAGCTCGGAGAATCTACAGGAAGTTATTGACAAACAAGTTCTTGGTAAAGTTGATACATTATCTAAAATGCAACCTTTGGTCCCATCAACCTTACCTCAACATTCTCCAGCTTCAATGGCTTCTTTACAAATGTCTAAAACAATGAAAACAATGGTCCCTAAAAAGGATCCAATTGAGATTGTGAGAAGGGATGGACGTGTTATTACTCTACCACCAATAGAGGCACCAGCCACAAGAGCTTCTAAACGGAAAAGTCAAGTGGAGTCTACGGGATCTAATGTGGGCACTCCAGTAATGGCTGCACCACTGTCTCCAGTTATACAAACCCCCGAACCAGTGCTCCAACATGTTTCAAAACAATATGTTAATAGAAAATTAAGTGCAAGAAAGCAGGAAACAGTACCACCGGTTGAAGAACCTTCTGCTGAATCTCAAGAAAGCTTAAACTCTGAAGATGATCCTAATAGGTACTTAATATGCAAATTAAATATTTTTTTTTAAATCTAAGATAATTTAATATATAATAATTGACATTTATGTAATATTTCAGGCTATGGTGTATTTGTAAGCAGCCACACAACAACCGCTTCATGATCTGCTGTGACAGTTGCCAAGATTGGTTCCATGGCAAGTGTGTCAACATTACAAAGGCGATGGGCCAACAAATGGAGGACCAAGGCATTGAATGGAGATGTCCAAATTGTGTTAAAAGCATTAAAACTAAAACTAATAAGGTAACTTTTGTGTTTTAGTAACAGTTGCTCGCAACTTCGCCCGCGTCAATTAAGAATAAATAGAAAATATGCCTATGTTACAGTAATTTTTCAACAGTGGAAAAATTTTTGAAATCGGCCCAGTAGTTTATTGAGTTATTTCAATATATACAAAAATACAGATCTTTCCTTTTTATACTTTTAGTTTAAAATAAATTTATGTATATATTTTATGACTTAAATTAACAGCCACCTTTAGTAGAAATGTAATAACTGATGTAATAATTTATTTCTAGGCTGCTGCAGCTGCAAAAAATGTCGAAAGTCACGAAACAAGATCACTAGCGTCTTCAATACTGCCCAAAGACACCGGGTCTAAGACGAACTGCATCGTGTGCAAGAAGTCGGCGCGCGCGAGCAGTATTTACTGCAGCGATGCTTGCATACTGAAACATGCACAAGATTCCTTAGGCACTCAAGGACAGTCGAAAACAGATGATATTGGACCAGAAAAATTAAAAGCAGAGTCGAGGGTATGTTTTCTATTCTCAAACATTTACTTGAACATAAAAAATTTTAGAGTCTAAGACAAAGTAACTCATTAGACTCTTCTTTAAATTAAATATTCTGTAAAAAGAACTATAGATATAAATGTTTGAGGGTTTAACGTATTTGTTAAGTATGTAAATTCAAATTCATGTAATTTTCGATACATTTTTCCGTTTAAAAGAAAATATATTCACTTTAACATTTTCAAGGTTATTGTATACGAACGAAAGTCGGGAAGATTACTAGCAGGACCAAATGCTCCGACTGCAGAAAATCTGAAGTTATGGTTGCAAAAGAATCCAACATTCGAAGTAGTACGTCCCGGCACACTCAGCACTATTAAACCGAATCCATCACGTAAGAAGTCAGCCGGTGAATCAAATAAAATTCAAACAACATTGAACTTTGAGAAATTACCTAAGAAACAGAGTGAAATATTAAAACAAGGTCCACATGATTACAAGGAAAAAATTTCAATCAAGCCAGTTACACCGAAAGAGGAAGCTAAACCGTTGCAAACTAAATTTTTAGCAACACCCAAGCCTATAACTCCACCACAGATATTTGACACTCCAAAGTCCCACAACGCCCCCGCTACCAGGACTAGTGAAGCTCGAAAGACTGTACGCACTTCTAACAGGTCCCAGTCGTCTCAAGAAAAGGTATGTTTTGTCCAATTATTATAGTTATCAACATTTAAGAGCGCATTTAAGACTATTTTGTTTCTCTCTTTATGAATTAATTTATTTATATAAATGTACACAACAGCTAATTACTTTTATGAGATTTCGATACAATTCTATTTTTGAAGACTGCATGCAATTTTGATCATACAAATGTGAGCAAACACTCAGAGACAAACATTGTTACTTCAATTTTATTTGTAAAAATGCAAGACATGGTTATATGGGTTTCTACCAACTAAAACCAACAGTTATCTTTTTATGTTATACTTAATTAATGGCTGTGTTAATAATCTTATTTATTTAGGGCCTGTCCTACCACTGGCTGATAGTGGCTCTAAAAGCTTAATAGTGACATCACTGTCAGAGTACCAAAATACGATACTTCCATCGCATGTTTTATATGTTGGATTCTTATATGACGATTTACAAGAATTGTGGGACAAGCCCTAAGTATTTTAAAATATGACAACTAAGTAGGGAAGCTAAAAAAGATCTTTTTTATTACACTAATATAAATGCATCACTTGAAGCAGACATTAAATTTTAGATTAAGCTTCGAACACAAATATTCCACTGCGTAAGATTAGTCACTTAGTATTCATGTGTTGTGTCTATTGTGCATAGTAAAATGAACTTAAAGTCTTAAGAATTACGTCAGGGTTTTGATTACACATCATAGTCTTATGATGTCATATTGTGTTGAAAACAACACAATCTTTAAGAAGTTTTATAACCTGTAGTTTGGGGATCAAATATTCCATAATTCTATTTTTAGTTTACTAAAGTTATAGGAAATCCACTACAAATGTTATGTCTATTTGACGAAACAAATACTTCATTCATCTCTAATCAAAGCTATAAATCAATCTCTTCACTTCAATTGATAACGCTCAATATAAATAAATATATATTTCTTCGAACTACACAGTTATTATTTGTGATGTGTGATTTAGTGTAAAGTTTATATTAATTATTTTGATGTATCTAAAAACATTGATATCACTAATTTTGCACCTTTTCTGTATAAGGGCTTGAATTTATTGACACACACAAATTTAATAGTATAATGACCTTGATATGTTTACACATTGATTACATGAGTTTGGCGCGCTCACGATAATGAAATCATTGTAGGCTCCATCAGTTACACCGCCGACGCCGCGGAGGAAGGACGTCCCGGAACCCAAAATGAAATTGACTTCAGCGGAACCTATCAGAGACAATGTAAAGAAGGCTCTGCAAGAGCAGATGAGCATCCGAATGGCGGAGACTAAAGGTCCCAAATTTACTGAGGAAGAAATTCTACAATTTGCAATTGATACCGAGTTTGAATTGCACGAACTGTTCCGCGATGTTGGTATGAAATATAAAGCCAAATACAGATCGCTAATGTTCAATATTAAAGACAGGAAAAATTTATCACTCTGGCAGAAAATATGTGATCGTACAATAACCCCTGAACAGTTGGTATGTATATTTTTAATTTATTAACATTTCTTCAGCTGAACTTATTTTATTGTAATAAATAATGTCCATTTCAGGTAAGATTATCTCCAGAAGAATTAGCCAGCCAAGAACTGGCGCAATGGAGAGATAAGGAAGTTAAGCATTCACTCGAATTAATAAAGAAATCTGAATTAGATCTTTTAGCTGCAAACAAAACGTATGTACTCAAAACACATAAAGGAGAAGAGGTAAGTTTTAGAAACATATGTTTTATATCGTAACAGGTAAATTGGAAATAGAAAACTAGCCAGTAATTTAAAAATTGAGTACTAAATAAAAAAAGTTTTTTTTTTCAGGTAATGGAAACTAAAGAGTCAGTATCAACAGAGTTAGATCCCAATGTTCCAGTGGAGGATGTTGTGTCAGCTCTCAATGACTCCATGGGCAATGAGCCAGCTGCACAAGATGCTAAGGACACGTGAGTTTGTTCATCACATATGTTTACATGATTTAATTTAGTCATATTACTAATGTTTCGTTTTTAACTATAACAATATTTCTTCTAGGCCAAAGAAATCTGAATCAGTCGGTCACAAATCAGGTAAAAAGTATGGCAGCAGTAAAAAGAAGGACAAAGAGAATGGACTAACGAGCCATTCTAAGAGTAAACGTGAATCTAAGAAAGATTTGGATAGTAGAAAATCACGATCGTCTCGCAGGAAATCTACCAGGAAGGAAAAGGAAGAACGAAGGAGGCGATCCGACAGGAAATCTCGCTCACGATCACGATCGAGAACAGACTTCAGTAAAGATAAAGCCGATACCAACGAGACTTCGAAGTATAGATCGCGATCTAGATTGAAATCTAAGAGGAGATCTAAAGATAGCGTGAAATCGACGTCGCGAGAACGCGATCGCTCACGCTCCTCGGGACGCTCGCGGCGACGCTCACGCTCCAGAGACTCCTCCAGGCGACGCTCACGGTCCAAACACAGGCAGAGCACTGAAGACAAGGTCAAACATAGATCCAAATCTCAAGAGAATACATACAAGAGCAAAAATGAGTAAGTTATCTCAATCATTAGCATAAGTAATACTGTAAATTAGTATTAATAAATTTTTCTTTTTAGTTCAACAGATTCAGATTCAGCAGAAAGACCGAAATCGGCAATGCTAAAAGAAACTCACCCGGAATACGACCCGCATGAACCAATGATAACATCTGCGTTCTCCGAGGAAGATTTACGAAAGTCCAGAGAAGATGTTTATGACGATTATAAAAATGAAATAACTAATTATAGTGAAGTCGACTACGATCCGTCAAAGTCTTTCTCAATCAACACCAGCATAATGCCAACAGACACGTACTTGCCAAAACAAGATAAAGCACCGGGTAAATATTATTTTGGTGTAGTCAGTGATGTAACATTTACAAAAATTATTCTTTTTTTTACATTTTTATTACAGAAGTAGAGAGCGATCAGGAGCCGAGCAGCACTGTGGAAAGTTCAGCACCGATTGTTTGGAACGGCTGCATCAATATGGTGGATGTCGCTAGATTTTATGTCGCAGCACATGAGGTAAACAATCATTAATTAAATAAATTACAATCTTTATGTATCACTTTATTTATTCATATATTAAATGATATAACATCAGGTTTCAGGCAATGCTATGGATTTAGAAGAGGATCTGTCTGCGGAGTTGGATGTCGTCGGCAGAATAAACCCGGATACGGTTTGGGACTACATTTTGAAAATGAAACGAGCCGGCAACAAAGACATCGTCATTTTGCGATTGCAAGCCGCCAATGATGAAGAAAAAATGCAATATATAGCGTTATACAGTTATCTTAGTAGTCGGAATAGGTATGTTGTCCCTATATCTGCCTCTAACACAAAAAAACATAGATTATTTATACAGTTTTTTTCATCAATGGAAATTCATCTTACTTCATCTTATAAATTTGAAAGTTTACTAAAGTATTTGATTTACGTAAAATATAGCGCCGATTTTATAAATTCTGTCACCATTAGAAAGTTTAAGAGTTAAATTACTTAACTAAAACAGACTGTTGTTTTTTTTTTTTTTTAAATTAGATGCGGACGAAGTCGCAACAACTAGTTATACTAATATTATAAATGCGAAAGTTTAGATGTATTGGATGTTTGTAAGAGTTTGTAGCGTTAACGGCTGAACGGATTTCGATGAAATTTAGTACAGATGTAGAGTACAGTCTGGAACACATAGGCTACTCGGGCGGAGTCGGCGAGGTAAGTTTGTAAATGTTGCATTGCAGACTGGGCGTGGTGAAGGTGTCGAACACGGCGACGGTGAAGGACCTGTACATCGTGCCGCTGTCGGCCAACGCGGCGCTGCCCGGCGTGCTGCTGCCGCTGGACGGCGCGCCGCTCGACGTCAAGACGCATCTGCTCATCGCCATAGTCATACGACAGAGGAAAAAACGAATACACACAAATGTTCTCAAAGAAATCATTCCCGCTAAGGTTAGTTCGACGGGTCGAATCTAAGCTTGTAAATAAAATGTTACTTGTTAAGTTTACCTTATTTTCCGTTAGTATTAAGCCCGCCATTACAAGAATGCATTTAGTATGTAAAATATGTAATATCACTGTTAATAAAATATATATAAAATATAATTTATTGTAGGTTAATAAAGTTATTTTCACAATGCTGTTTATTTAATTAAGTTAATTGTAAAATTATATATTGTATTGTTAATATCTGTTATAGTTATATATTGTAAGAATCGAAGTTACAGAAGCAGTTATTTAATTTTAATATTAAATGTTTCTTTTTCCTAATCCCTTTGTCCCTTACAAAAGTATGATTTTTTAACCACGCACATTAAATTTGTTAAGTTAGTTTTACAATGTATAAATAAACGAAAAAAAATTTATTAGGTATTAAAATTAAAAGCTTATATGTAATCTAAAACCTTCAGCAAGAGAAAATTATTTTATGGGCCATTTACGCTTTATTTACGTAACGTAGATAAAATAACTAAATGTTATGAATTCATTAAACCTTACTGTGTTAATCTCAACTTTTACATCTTAATATCTCAGTTAAATTAGCATCAATTTAAAATTCCCCCCACCAGAAATTTCATCTCAGTTACTTCGTGAATTTTTCTATTACACGTGTTTGAATAAAATAGGTCTCTAACTATATAAACAATGACGATTCACGTCAAAACATTTAATTAGCATTGTCTAGCTAACTACATTAGTATAATTAAATATCACGATTGTATCTATCTGATGTGGGTATTTAGAGAAACCATAATTATTACGCAATTCTAACTTAAAGTTGTCAACCACTAGTTCTACTAACAGGAAGAAGCCCATAACCTATCAATATATTTTTTATTGATTAAAATTAATGTCTGTGTCATAATCGATAGTATAAACTTTTATCGCAAGTGTGACGTGTGAGTTTTATAAGTGTAGATTTGAAAAAGTTTTAATAACATGCCAGTGTTAATCACAGTTTCTTTACCCCTGAATAAAGATGGCGCGTGATTAATCAAATGATCGCTTATATGATAATGCCAACCGATAATTTATTTTGCAGCTTGTTTGATTTGCTTTGAATAATTAAATTGTTTTTTTTTTTTGCAAAATCTTTGCCTTATTAGTCATATTTATTCAATTTACGTGTTTTTTAATTTGTTTACAACGTATGTTTAGGTAATATCGGTGCATTTGTAATCATAATTTTCAATTGACAAAGACCTGTAAACGAACATTATTATTTTTGTCCTTTAAAATGAAGTGAGCAAGATAACAATATGTTTTTGTACAAGTATTTTGACAGTAAACATTCAGGTAAAATAAAATGTTAATTTTGTTATGTATGTGTATGTAGGTGAGAGGCGAGTCGCGCAAGCGGTCGTACACGCCGCCGGTGGGCGGGCGCGGCTTCACGCCGCCCAGCTCGCCCAAGCGGCGCGCGCTGCCGCTGCCCTCCTACACCTCGCCCGCGCTCTCCACATCGGTTAAAGACAAAATCGCAGCCACCTTGGGTAATTAAACTTTCGTATGAGTTTTAATTTAGATCTGTAATAGTTCTGCAAATTGCAGTGATAGGATATTTTCTGGCTACTTAATCTGATTTAAAAAAAAAATGTCGCATTCGACTTAAATATTGTGCGAGCTGTGTTTTGTTCAATTTTATTTTGTGCCTAATTGTCAAATAATATGACAGCGTCTGCGGACGACGAGGAGGCGTACAGCCCGGGCTCGTCAACGAGCAGCGGCTCCGCGCCCGCCGCCACCTCGCTGCGCAACAAGATGGAGGAGCTCAACAGACAGATTGAGGAACAGAAGCAGCAGATCTTGAAGATGGCCCAGGCGGATTCATCTATATTAGATCCTTCGGTATGTATCATTTTTATTTTCTTAGTTGCGTTTCATAAGTGTAATTTGTAATAATAATTGATGTCTGTTTAGGAGGAAGCATATTCTCCGTCGCGCCCGATGACGCCGCCGGATGCGGAGGGCGGCGCCGGGAGCGTGGTGAGCGGGGCGGGCGCGGTGCCGCTGGCCGACATCGCGCTGCCCTCCAACCTCCAAGAGATCCTCGCCTCCATCAAGCAGCGCACCCCCGCCCCGGCCCCCGCGCCCGTACCCGCGCCCGCGGACATCGACATGCGCCAACTGCCCCCGGCGTAGCGCCCGCAACATCTCACACATGCCGAATCGACATGCGTATCAACACAAATCTAGTGATTACACACTAAATTGACAATGCAAACTGCTAACCTAGATGCCCTTTCATGACATGAAACAGGGGTCGGCAACTATTCTTGACCCCGAGTGAAAATGATATAACTTCGGGTCGGATTTAAAATCGATAAAAATATTTTTGTATTAATCCAAAGTTTTAAAAGACTAAAGTAAAACAAATATAGAAACTAAAAAAGTTATATTAGGTTTTAGTGCCTGTTAAATTTAATTTTTGCTTTAGAAATAAATTAGGTCACTTGGTGACTTAAGGTTTACGACCCCTGACCTAAAAGGTTTACATCAACTTTAAGCAACCATGCTTTGCTACCCCTGATCTGACAACTCGGAGTGTGACACACATAATTCGATCTCCTGTTATTTTAAGAATATAAAAATAGGCTAGTTCTGGCTGACTGCTTTCAGCAGACATTTGTTCAGATAATATTTGCAACTGGCAACACTTTACCACGTTTTTTCCGAAATTCCACCATAAGTACAATATTTTCCCTATTTGCATTTATACAACATTCTAACATAAATAACATTAACATTAACGCACATCTCTATAAATACACCGAGTACATAACAATTAGTTTGCATATAATTTGCACAATAAGAAATCATGTTAATAATTCGTAATTAATCATTTTCAAGGTTGGATTGTGTTGATATGAAAGTATATACTTTGGGAGTGCGTTTTGCATACCGCCTTACAGCAGATCATGTTAGATCTATAACGGAATCTAAAACGGTTTTTCTTTCTTAATTTTAACGTTGACTATTTTGTTTTATTTTATACATAAAATGCATGTTATATAGAGTATATAGCACATAGGAAAATTTAAATATGCAAGGCATATTTAGAGTAATATCGTGTGCAATTGTAGGTAGAATGTATGGATGTGAGTCACTAGATGAATGAAGATTGTAGATATACATGTTTTGTGAAAAATAATCACACATAAAATTGTGCGTAATGATTTTAAATAACATTAATGTTTTCTTTTTTTTTAAGATTACGTAAAAAGCAATCAATGAAATACATTGGTTTAGTTCAAATTTTAGTAAATTTGAGGCAAATATCTAATAATTATTATAGTTTTATTTTTATCTTAGCACATATTTTAGGATGGCAGTGTCAACATCACATTTTACATCATCAATGTTTATCATGGAACATTTACAACTCATCAATCTTCGCTAGTTGTAACTTTTATTAGCGACATTTTTAATACCTAAGTTTGTTGTACATACCTAAATTGTTAATAAAAAAAAGTATAATTTGATATTGTACAAATCTAGGTTAAACATTTATTGTTTAGGGATTTCTTTTGCAAATATTATGAAATATGTTTATTTACTAAGATTTAACGAGAAATAAAAATAAAAATAATAATTGAACTTTTATTTAAATACTATCATCATCAAACAAATATTGTTTGGATTTCACTCGCTTTTTCCTGAATGCTTGTATTCTATTGTCTCTGATTGTATTAAATTTCTTATATGTATCTTCTTTGGCTAGGGGACTGTTCATAAACTTTTTTTGCATGGCCATTATTTTTGTTTCCATGAGCTTTCTTCTTGGAATATGACGTAACGCGTGATCCCAGTCACCTGATAGTTTTAAATCCAATAGAATAGGGACCATGTGATTTATGTTCAAACTTTTAGTTGCGCCGGGCGCCCACTCCATGTACCTGTCCAAGGGTAATTTCGCCATCTTCAATCCATCTCGTTTTGCTCTGGCTAGTGAAAGTGGTTCTGTGTTTATCTGAAATATAATTTAGTTATGTCATATGAAATTATTTGATCTATAGAATCCTGAATATAAACAGCTTACCTTATCCACCATACATCCAATAATATAAACAGTGTCATGATCAAATGTTGTCAGTTCCTCCCTGCAGTGTGGTGTCAGATATACCAGCTTTTGCTTCGGGAAAATATCTAAATAACTCTTAGTGTGAATATTTAGAGGAAACCATGGCTCTTCTAATGATGGTATATTTTTACGTAACTGTTTCATGAAATGGCCCTCTAAATCTACATTACACATGTGAATATTGAATGGCTCTTTATGTATTCTGTTATCACCAAATACAAAGGTCATTTGTTTGGCTGCATTAACAGCTTCGCGCCAAACCATGTTCTGTTCATAAGAGCAATCTATAACAATTGGTTGACCCCACATCATTGCTTGAAGTGCCCTGGAAAACACATTGTAAAAGTTAAACGAGACAAAAAGCTCTATTGTTTATATTAAGTTTGTTAGTAACTGATGTTATGATGACTTTATCTTAGGGTGTTGCCAGCCGATGATCTAGGCTAGGTTTATTGACGCGGCGCAGCATTTATTACCATAGTCATTCATGATATTTTTTTATTCCCTCCTAGAGTAACAGGTAAAGCCCATGTCTATACATTTTTGATTCAAACAATGTTCCAATTCTATACTGAAATTATAGGTATTATTCTTGATTAACATACCTTACCTATAATTATCATACTGGTTAATTGACTGATCACGAATTCGCAGAAACAAAGTTTGATGTTTGATGCCATATATAAGGTCATCTGGAAACTCCTTCTCTACTACTTCGTCAGTTTTTAATGCCATCTCTTTTCTTCTTGCTTCTTTCTTTGCCTATAAAGTTATGTATTAAAAAATTTCTCGATATAATAGGTTGTTCCTACATTCAGCTAGGTATATAACTGAATTTAAGGGAAACAAATTTGATGTGAAAAATAATAAAAAAACATAAATAGCCTATGTTACTCATAAAATATCTTTTTAATAAATTATTTTTAGAAGTTGGTCCAGTAATTTTTGAGTTATTTCAATATATACAAAATACGAGTCTTTTCTCACTAAATAAATTACCTTTTCATTTTGTTTTGCAATTTCTGTTTTCCATAGATATAATAGATAGCTGGACCTTTGGTTTCTGCTTGCAAGAGTAAGTAGATGTTCCCAGTGATGTTTTTGCAGTAAACTTGGTGCAGGACGACCATCTTGACGCATTACTTCCACTTCCAACATTAAGATTTTTAGTTTTTTTTCTAAATCTAAATCACCTTTGCACAATTCATTAATTATTTCTGAAACATAACATAATGTTGATAGGTTTAATTAATTTTTGTTAAAAACCATTTATTTTAGTTTGGGAAATTTTGCGGTGCCTGATTTATGAAAAATACAATTAAAAGTTGTTGCACATAGATAATTAAACTATTGACACAGAAACACAAATTATATAAAATGAAAGGAAAAGGAATTTCTAAAATAGTATAAGAAATATTAAATGTTACCCGAGTCGTCATCATGTGCAGTATAAAATCTTATAGGAGTTTTCCATTTTGCAACAGATATTACCCGCTTATAAAGAATAGGAGACACCTGGTACTGCCGTATACTTGAAATTAATGATTTAATGCACTGCATTGTAAATTCTCAAAGGTATTCTTTTATTTAAACAATGTAATTTGTTTACATGTAAAGCTATTAAAATATTTTAATTTATTTCAAAACGTTATCCAGATATAACATCTTGTTAATCAATAAAAATCGGTAAGGACTAGGACTGTATTGGAAAGATATTTTACTAATTTGAGTTTTAAGCTTAAATTAAATATTTTCAGAGTACTTTTTAACTCTAACCTAAAAAATCCGTTTTTTTTTACATCGACAATCGACAATTAAACAATTGACAAGTCATATTATGTTGCCATGTAATGAAAGCCTAATTTTTTCAGTTGACTTTAAAATTCCACGAAAGCATAAAAAGTTAACAATTAACAATAGTCTCATGAATTCATGATTCGTCTAATTTGTGACCATTTTATTGTTGCAGACTTTCTGATTCCATTCTGACACCAGGATGGTCAAACATTCAAATATTGGAAAAAAGTTTTTGACTTATCGTTCTGTGACATTGTCAGGCCGGCTCTGGAACTGGGACTATATTTGAAAAAGTGAAAGAGAAAGAGGCATTTTGGAAACGAAAGGAGTAAGGAAACGGAGAGCTAATTACAGGACAGGCTGAAGGTGAGAATTTTCAATAGGTATTCTCTTCTTTGTAATTAACGAGTTAGTTCCTTTGGTTCTGTACCTAACCTTTATAAAAATATGGTCCCAATTTACTAAGAAAATAATTAATGTAATGATCAACTCACTGTAAGAAAATCGTTGTTATAGTCCCAGACAATTTTTGTGGAGTAAAACTCCATAAAAATCTAATTTTTCGCTATCGACAGGTTGGATTTTACATTGAGCCTTTATTATTATAGGTTATAACATATTTGTATTTATGCAACAAAACTTAATTGTATTTACACACACACCTAATTACCATAGTCACCAACGCACCAATGTATTTGAGCCGTTTGTACTATATTTCTACCAATGGTGGAATCATTAATAAGGTAGGTTATACAATCACGTTAAAAATTTCGTTTCAGATTCCTACAATGGCATTATCGTCAGTAATACGTCGCACCTTTATCAATGGTGCACTTTATTCCGCTGCAGCTCTACGTTTTGCCTCAACTCAACAAGAAAAAAAAGTTTACTTTGATGTAACTGCCGATGGAGAGCCTCTTGGGCGTATTGTTATGAAACTGAATGCTGATGAAGTACCTAAAACAGCTGAAAACTTTAGAGCTTTGTGTACAGGTGAAAAAGGATTTGGCTATAAAGGTTCATCATTCCATAGAATAATTCCCGACTTTATGTGTCAAGGAGGTGATTTCACGAACCATAATGGTACTGGTGGGAAATCTATTTATGGTCGTACATTTATGGATGAAAACTTTAAACTAAGGCACACCGGCCCTGGTATGTTGTCTATGGCTAATGCAGGACCAAACACAAATGGATCCCAGTTCTTTATTACGACTGTAGCCACACCATGGTTGGACCGCAAGCATGTTGTATTTGGATCTGTAGTTGAGGGAATGGATGTTGTTAAGAAGATGGAAAAACTAGGGTCTCGGAATGGTACACCCTCTAAGAAAGTTGTCATTGCAGAGTGTGGTGAGTTAGATTGAATAGTGGTCCTGTAAATTTATGAAAAAGTAGTTTTGTAGTTATTGATCAACTCTAGTATGTAGTGTGTTGTTAATTTTGTAATTATTGTAATTAGAGTTAAATATAGTATAGCAACAGTCATAGAAAACATGAAGAATTAGTCTAAAGAAGAGGTATTTATTCATGCACATAATTTGGCAGTTAAAACAAGGCACATTGGTTTGTAACTATTGTAAGAACATAATCAAAGGCATATATGTATGAATGTTGACATGAATTTTTAACAGACTACAAAAATGTGGATATCAACATCAGATATATGTTTCTTTTTTTAATATTTTTGCTATGCATTGTTAATATATTTTTACTTTTAAAAGGTGACCTGGATGAAGCTATTGAGATTTGCAAAGCTCAACAGCCATAACTAAGATATGATGAGGATGGAAATTAGTTGAAAATAAAAATGTTTTAAAATAAGTATGCAATTTTATTAATCACTAAATGCAACAAATTAGTTTAGAGAGTTGTTGCTATCACCATCACTGGTGTGAGACAACAACAAATACAGCTAAGTCAGTATCAAGTCTTAAGACCTATTGTAATAAGGCATTTTTAGATAAAACACTCTCTTCATATCAAACTATTTCTCTCTTAACAAATATATGACAATTTACATCGCTGCTTCCCTTGTCTTTTAAATTTGTGATAAATATATTGCTTTAAAATATTAATTCAGTACTAAAAAAATATTTCTACTGTAATAGTAATTGAGTTCTTAATTCATACAAACAGCAGCCCACAAATTGACATTTTGACAAGTTTTACAAAACTAAAATTGAAGTAAATTTTCTTTAAATCAAATTTCACAAAATTATACAAAAACATACATTTAGGTTCAGATAATAAATACAAAAAAAAATGAACATAATGCAAACAATGTCAAAATAAATGTACACTAAAAATCATTCAAAAACCAACAAAATGTGTATAGAAACCAACTGTTCTAATGAGTTTCCAACAGGAAATTATAAAAATGTTGGTTTAATTGCTATGTACCACAAACATAAATCAACACAATGCAAGACAATGGAATAAATCAAATTGAATACATCTTATTAATAAAAGGTGATGTTATCAGTTTGCGAGGACTTAGTTGTAATACTATGACTGTGATCAGACAATATTCACAATATTCTTTAACTCAATACACTTTGAGATCACAGACAAAATTAATTTAATTGCACCTTTACAAATTCAAGTTCACAACAAAAATTTCACAAGAAATAATATTTCCTATCTGAGATTCTGTGTTAATATTGACTTAAACAAATTTACAGATTAAATTCTATACAGTTTTGTTAAAGAAACCGAAAATTTTGTAATCAATAAAGATAACATTCATTCCTCCCCTAGCATCTTTTGGTCAACCAATGGCTCAGTCTTGATTTAAAACTGTACCACAGTTTTATGGTGTTTTTATATAGTTATTATCATTTTTATATTTTTAGAATTGACACATAAAAGCAAATGCAGTAAGTTTATTTTTTTAAACTGAGCAGAATTTGCTTTTATACCCCTTCTCGGAACCAAAAGATTTAAATAAAACATCAAATCACATTTGCTTGAATGTTAAAGATGTTGCCATGTCAAAATTAAGTAATAATTAAAAAATTCACAACATCTCAAACAAGTATTAACATAAATATTATTGATTTGAAACAACTGTTAGAAAAATAAAATTCTTAAAGGTGGATGAGCCAATCAGTATTGACGGTAAGTAAGATTCTATTTATTTTAAGGCTAATTAGGCTTATGTAACATTTGAAAGCCTTAGGTTTAATTAAAAAATTGTATTAGTTATATCTAAGATTTTACTAATAACAAATCTAAATGAAGACTAATTGTGATGATTGCATCTATTCACACTTACAAATTACAGTAAAATCAGTTATTGCTATTGCTCACAATTTTATGGTCTGTTATTAGTTGACATTGTTAAGTATAAACATAGACAGATCCTTTAGTTTTTTTTGTACATAAGCTGATAGTTTTGCATAACAATAATTTAGAGATAAATTATTTTGTGTGAATAAGGGTGTAGTCAACATAGATTTTGAAGAGGGGAGGAAATAAGATAGGTAACCCAGTTATTTTGCTCATAAAATATTTCTCTGATTAAACTGACCCATTTATGCAATAGCAAAAGATTAACTATTCTATATTATGTGGACTTGTTAATTTTAGTTTATGAAGCCTTATTAGAAGCAGAAATACTGCTAAAGGATGTGATGTATTTATACTATAACAGTCTCTTGTCATTTTAAAATGTTTCCTGTTATTCAAATCAAATTTGCTACACTCAACATTTATGTGTTAATTTATAATCTACACTTAGGGCTGTGTTAAGCGAGCTTCTCTCATTTAGTGTAAGCGTTAAAGTAGCCTAATTTAAAGATATGATTCGAAATCACTTGCGGTCAGCGGTGTCGGTGAAATAGACGAAGTAATTTACATACATATCCAACATTTTTTTAACAATTTTTATGTGCAATAAGAACGTGTCGAGCTAAAATAAGGTCTCGTAACAACTTAATGATAAATTATTTCTTCTATCCACCACACTGCAGTGCACTTAAAACATTTCTCGTTAATTAGAATATTTGCAGCACTGTGAACTAATATTGATTTAATTTCACTAAGAAGTCTCGTCTTCTTCAAATATGTAACATTTGCTAGAATCAAGGATTCAAAAATGTACGTGAAATCCTTGAGATGTATCACTTTATGACCGCGGCACAGTCGGCGAGGCTCACGCGCGCGGCTCGTGGCCGGGGCTGTGGGCGGCGAGCGCGGGCGAGGCGGGGGTCGGCGTGAGCTGGTCGACGCTGCGGCCCTTGTGCATGTGCAGCGCGAGGTCGCCGGGCTCCATGGTGATGTGGTGGCTGGAGGTGCGCTTGTGGCGCGAGTCCGCGGGCTTGAGGTCGCGGGAGCCGGTGCGGCGATGGCGCAGCACGCCGCCGCCCTCTATCAGCCGCTTGGTCTCGTCGTCGGGCGGCTTGGCGAGCGGCAGCACGGTGAGGTCGAGGCTCTCCATGCTCTTGATGGCGAGCTGCTTGAGCTGGTCGAGGCTGAGGTCGCGCGAGTTGTGTCGCGAGTGCGAGCGCGCCGCCTCGCCCGAGTGGTGGCGCGCGCGCGGCTCCAGCTGGATGGTCTTGGAGTCGTTGCGGAGATGGCGCGAGGCGACCAGCACGCGCGACGTCTTGCCGTGGTGTGAGTGGTGCGAGTGGTGGGAGTGCTGCGAGTCAGTGCGGCGCACGGGCGGGCGGGGCTCGTCGCCGGCGGCGTGGGGGGCGTGCGGGGCGTGCGCGGCGCCCTGGGCGGCGGGGGGCTCCAGCGGCGTGCTGGTGGTGGAGCTGTGGCCCGAGGTGACGCCGGACCGAAACCCGCTCGTGTTCTCCGCCGACGGCAGCTCCTCGAATACTGAAAATTAGATTTAATGAATGAAAAAAATTTACCAGGTTTTATGCTATACTGTATAATGTACTTGTATATTTATATAAAAAGCGTATTGACGATTTGAACAATAATTAAAATAAATACGAACATTTGTCGAGACTGATGATGGAGCCCGCTATGTCCTTCTGCGGGTCGAGCGGCGCCGTGGTCTCGAGGTGCCGGCGCCTGCGCACCAGCCACCAGTCCGCCAGGAATATGCCCAGCGCCACGATCTTTATACCACCGCATAAACCGACGTACCTGAAACGTTTAAAAATTGTTCACTAAATAACAAACATGAAAACATTAAAAGAAATATTTTTTGTTAATTAAATGTTTATGTCGTATAACTGTTTGGTCGCTAGATGGTATTGTACTGTGGTTTTAAACAAATGAAAACAATAATTCAAATTGGGTTTTAAATGTCATGTAAGCAATAAAATTATTAGGGCACCTGTATCGGAACTGTTCGATGTCGTAGAGCAGACAGCGGCCGCCCTTCTCCCCGCCGCAGGACTGCTTCCACAGCAGGCAGGTGGAGTCTATGAGGTTGCCGAACACGATGGGCGCCGGGATGTACCCGAACAGACGGAAGATCACGAACTGCATGCCCAGAGCGAACGAGCGCTCCTCCTCGCTCACAGACCTAAACAACATTCAACATTAGATTGATTAATCTTTTATTTTTACTGCTGAAACCGATGATAAATCATGCTTCATACTAATATTATAAATGCGAGAGTTCAGACAGATGGATGTTTGTTAGAGTTTGTAGCCTAAACGGCTGACCGGATCTTCATGAAATTCGGCACAAAAGTAGAGTATATCCCGGAAATAGTTACGGTTCCCGTGGGATGGATAAATTTTGTATTTTAATGTATACTCGATAATTCTGCACATCTTATTAAAATTTGAGACAAATATAAAACAACGACAGATATAAAAGTGGTGTACACATGGGATAAGGTTGATCCCCGAAAAATGTCTGGTTCTCAAGGGACACGTCGGACACCGATGAAGTCGATGGCAACAGCTAGTGTATATAAGTGAATTATGTGTACCTGAGTACGATCATGAGCAGCGGCATCTGGGTGACAGCGACGACGAAGGTCATGAAGAAGAGCAGCACTAGGAAGGGGAAGATGGTGGTGCAGGGCGGGTTGCAGGCGCCCGCCGTCGCCACCGGCACCACCGTCACGTCGCCGAACTGCGCCGTCAGCGCCGCCGCGGAGGCCCCGCCCACCAGCGCCGCGCCGCCCGCGCCGCCCACCGCGCCCGCCGCGCCACGCGCTGCCTCGCGGCTGTTCTCGTGCACGCCTACACAATAAACATAGATTTTTAACCCTTAAATGCATGATGATGCATTCATACACCAGTCTTCTCTTCCACACCCAATGGATTATTTAAATTATTTTTTCTTTATTTTTCCCTTGATCTATGTTCAATTTACTACCCGTTTCAATTTAGGGTATTTAAAACGAAAAAATGATTTACGGTTTGAATTCACTGCTTCAAAGTCCATTAATGGTGATCAAGTTACATCTCTGAGCGCGGTATTATTTCTTTAGAGTAAATTTAGTATGTGATATATTCACTATGAGATTGATTAATGCTTTTACTATGTAGAATATAAATTTAGTTTTTTTTGTAGATATGTGTTTATTGTTATTTCTGTTGTTATGGCGTGTTGTGTTGTGCTGTGTTGTTGTTGTGTTGTTGTTGTGTTGTGTCATGTTGTGTTGTGTTGTGTTGTGTTGTGTTGTGTTGCGTTGTGTTGTACTGACAGGCGCAGTTGGTGAAGTTGGAGCGCGAGGAGAACGCGGCGCAGCCGGCGTGGCAGGGCGAGAAGTACGTGAGGCCGTTGTTGCCGCAGACGGGCTCCATGTCGGTCTCCGTGCAGAGGCAGTTGAAGTTGCACGCCGCCGTCAGATTCACTTTGAATGGCTCCAAGTTACTGAAAACAAACATTGTTATACTTTAAT